AAAATAAAAAAATAAAAAAATAAAAAAATAAAAAAATAAAAAAATAAAAAAATAAAAAAATAAAAAAATAAAAAAATAAAAAAATAAAAAAATAAAAAAATAAAAAAATAAAAAAATAAAAAAATAAAAAAATAAAAAAATAAAAAAATAAAAAAATAAAAAAATAAAAAAATAAAAAAATAAAAAAATAAAAAAATAAAAAAATAAAAAAATAAAAAAATAAAAAAATAAAAAAATAAAAAAATAAAAAAATAAAAAAATAAAAAAATAAAAAAATAAAAAAATAAAAAAATAAAAAAATAAAAAAATAAAAAAATAAAAAAATAAAAAAATAAAAAAATAAAAAAATATTTAAAATATTTAAAATATTTAAAATATTTATCAATGTTATTCCAAACCCAATTTTTGCTCAATTATCAATAATTATTTTTTAAAACAAATAATTATATTTTTCAATTAAATTGTCAATATTTGTTTTTAATCAAAATTTGAAAACCATAATTGTGAGACCCATGCTTCTTGCTTTTTAATTTTGTTTTGTTCAAAATAATTTGAATGATATACAATAAAATATGGTTATAAATTAGAGTGTCTGAAGATTTGAATTTTCCCAAAAATATCAATTATTATGTAATCATTGAAAAGTCTATAATAAGGGATTGTTGGTTAAGACATTTAACTTATTTACTTATCATGTTTCTTTCGACATTCTGCAAAAATCTCCTGATTTTTTTTAACATTTAAATTGTAAAAAAAAAATAAAAAATAAACATTTTTAAAATTATAATAACAAATTAATAACAAATTAACAATTATTAATAATATTTTTAACTGTAAAATCATAAAAAATTGTTTTCAAAAAAAATATTAATATTCAATTTTTTGTTTGAATATTTCAGTTGTCAAATGATAAAAATTAAGTTTATTATTATTCGAGTTTTTTAAGGCTAAATTTAAACTTTGAAATATTCTAACCATGGGTATTGAAAATAAAATTAGTGTAGTTTTTAAAATACAATAACAAAAAAAATATATTTTAAAACCAATAATACATAAATACTTTGAATGAGCGCATTGGTTCTTTTCTTTGCAATATCAACAGCTGATTTATTATGCCAACCCACTTCGAGTCAATGTTCGACAGGTTTTAAAGTATTGTGTTTGTTTATATTATGTTAAACAATATTTTTAACGTTATGTGTATTTTTATTATATATAAATTATATATGACAGTTTTATGATATAAAATCAATTATTATACAAACGTAACAATACAAATTATATATAACCGTTATTTGATACATTATTAATATAATATTATAATTATAAACTTAATTTTTTTAAAAGAACAGTAAATAGACTAAACCTTTTAATATATAATATATTAAAATTGATATTAAAACAAATTTTATGATTGTAATAAAAATATTTAATTTTTATTAAAAAACTAAATAATAAATAACAAATAGATGGCGAAGGTCCAATCAAACAATGCGATGTCATATATATTTCTTATACTTTTAACATGAAGTATGCATGTTCATTGCAATTTGAAAGCCTTCCGTTTTTTGAAATAGATGGAAATTACGATTTAAGTGTTGATAAGAACATCATGTTTAATAACGGCATTTCGTTTTTAATTGATTCGAATACAACACTGAGAGGAGTGTCACAATTTTTTAGTGTTCCAATTTCACTTTCAGAAGGATCATCCGTAGAAATATATAACGATTTTGCAATGGAAGATATTACGTTTGGTGTGGGTACAATAACAGTGACTGGGAATCTGAGAATATCAAATAACATGAAAATAGATAATGGAGGGGTTTTAAATGTCAATGGAAATGTAATACTTGAAAATAATGCAATTTTTGAATGTGAAAATTGTATAATAAAATGCACAAATTTTTATATGAAAAAGAACACGACTTTCACATCAAACAAAAAGAGTGTGGTACAAGCAAAAAAGATAATTGCAGAAGAAAAATCTCAGATGACATTTTTGTCGACTTCACTGCAATTTGAAAAATTGGAAATTTACAAAAAGTCATATTTAAATTTCTACGACGTCGAAAACTTGAACGGAAATATTCAATGTATTTTAATAGCTTCAGAGTCAAATTTGATATTTACAAATAAAAATTCGTTTAACGAGTTAAGTTTGACAGTTAAAGAAGGTAGTAATATCATTTTTGATGGTATTAGTACATTAAATTATTTGTATGTAAATGACTCCAATGTGACACTTTCATGTGAAAACAGTTTGACTGTTAATAATTTCATGATAAGTGGCAATTCGTTGATATCAATTTATAACAATAACGCATTGAACACAAAAACAATACAAATCAAACAGAATTCTTCATTCAAAATCGACTCAATCGACACTAATATAGTGTTTGACACTTTCAATATAAATGATGATTCAAAAATGGTTATTTACAATTCACACAATTATGATCAATACAATGAAACAGTCATGTTAAAAGGACAAATTCAGTTTTTTGGATCTTCTATTTTTGATGTTCAGAAATATTCGTCAGTGACTTTGCTTGGCAAACTAAAATTTTCTGGGTCGTCTTCGTATACAATGGCGGGGTGTCTGCAATCGAATAATAACCACTTGGAGAATGATAATACTATTATGTTTGTTGACAATTCAACACTTCTCCTATATGTAAACGCAACTATTAAAATGGTCAATTCTATTGTCTTCTTAGACTCCGTGAAAATATTTTTTAACAACAACGTTTACATTGAAACCAACACGTTTTACTGTTACATTTCATCAAAAGTGTATTTTGAAAATGACTCCCACGTTGAGTTGTATAGCAGACTCTCCTTCTTTAACGTGTCATCAACGCATTATTTAAACAACATCACCATGTTTATCGATTTTCCCAAATACATCCAGATGACTTCTCTTCATATTGTTTGTTATCATTTCGAGATGACTCCACTGTTGAATATAGTTCGAGTGTCTTTCTTCATGTCAATTCGTGTGTCGAATTTTTCAATAGCACCACTGCAATATTTCCAATTGGTTCACATTTTGAAATTCAGAATGGGATTTATTTCTTCGATTCGAACTCAGCTTCAAAACTCAATGTCAGCATTGAGAGCGGGGCTGTATTTTATTTATATGGTAAACAGTACATCCCAAGTAATTGCATGGATTTTTATCATACCGATAATGATATACGCAGGTGTTGGGGGTTTTATATTGGGAAGTATGCTACAATGCATATATACAACGCCACTGTTTATAAAAATCCAATTTTCACGCTGTTGAATGGTAAAGTATCGTATATAAAATCATCTATTTTATCATCAAATTGTTTCGATTTATTTTCATCGCCAAAAGGTTACAAAAAGGTAAAGTCCGCCACATCAAGTAATTTCATGTCTTTGGCTGACAACAAACTAAGAAGGTTTTGCCCAAATAGCGTCACTAAAAATTTCCAACACCAAAATTCTGACACCAAAAATATTAAAAATATTAAACTTTTGGAAATTTCCGAACACACAAAAACCACTTCAAACAAATTTTCTAAAATAATTCCGAGAATTCAAGAAAATGACACTTTTTTTCCTCGAAACAGTTTACGAAATTTGGAAAATAATAAAACCCTCGATGATGGAAATTATCCGACTGAAGTGTACTGCCATTTGAATGGAAGTGTTTACACGGAGTTTTACATGACAACCGATTGAATTCATCATTCACACACCCCCATTGTCCATATAAAAACAACGAAACGTTTCCGTTGTTAGTCATATCTGAGGTGAAACACTTGTTTATAGGAAAGACTGAATATCCGGTGTATATTGACTTCAAACAAAAGTTCTCAGTCGATGTGACATGTGACAATAATGAAGTGAATCAATTTAAAGGCAACTTTGGTGTTGTTGGAAGGGAAAAACTATTACAAGTTGAAATTCCGAAGTGTGGAGAATTTATAGAAAGAACAGCAACAATCAAAAAAGACAGCGCCGAGTTCAGAGTTAACTGCAAAAACGCTTCTGTTGCATTTTCAAATGAGGTTAATGGGAAGGTTGGATTAGGACAGAACAATTACATGTTTATCAATATATCAAACATTCCACTGATTCTCTACATAATAAACAGTGATTTGTACACACAATTTCTGACTTATAAGAGCGTACAAGGTACTTTATTAATGAGCGACAATTATTTAAGAACAACAAAAGGAACTTTGTATGACAGTGTGTATTATTATAATGTCTCATTTAAGGGTAAAAAGAAAAATGGAGGGAAAGATGTCCCACATATGTATTTTAGCAATAGCCAATATTTCACTTGTGAAGACAAAGCTTTAACTTGTGCAAATAAGACATATGCAGTACAATGTAGTCAAGGGTTTATTATGAATCAAGCAGGCAATTGTATTCATATAGAAAACTGTAAAACTACAATAGGAGGTATTTGTATTGAACTTGGAGGGGCGTTCGACTATGAAAACAAAGAATTTACAAAATGTGATAACAACTGCTTTTTATGTGTAAGAAATGTCTGTTTTATATGTGGTGCTAATTCGATTCTAATAAATGGTAGTTGTCAAACAAAAGGAATTGGAGGGAAAACAGTAAACTCTCATTCTACAGTGAGTTGTGAAGATGGTTATTTCAACATGTTAAATTCATGTCACATGTGTCACACTCGTTTTGAAAATTGTGAACTTTGTAACAAGAAAAAATGCACCAAGTGTGTTTCTGGCTTTTCATTTAATAAAATACAGCAATGTGTTATACAAACTTCAATCCAAAATATCTTAAAAACGACACCACAATGTCCACTTGGGTATTCAGTATCCGAAAATGGGAAGTGCACTGAGTCAATATCACATTGTATACATCAAAGCGAATCCACCTGTTTACAATGTGACAGCAATTATATTCTCTCATATGGAAATTGTTACCAAACTGTTATTAGTAACAATGAAAGTTGTAGGGTATATTCTTCCATTGGGTGCATTCGATGTAAAAAGGGGTATTACACTGACAAATCCAACAAATGCAGTCCGTGTAACATTAAGTGTACTGAATGCACTGGAAACTCCGAGAAGTGTCAGAGTTGTATTCCTGGGACGGTCTTGTCGCATGGGAAGTGTGTCACAATATTCACTCTTGAGGGGATATGTACTTCATTTGAAGCGAATGGGCAATGCACGCGGTGTACCGATGGGTATTTCACAGTGAATGGAACGTGTCAGAAATGCACACATCCATGTGCGATATGTAAAAATGAATTGATTTGTGAGAAGTGTGAAAACAAGTATTTTAAGAATGAAATGAATTTGTGTGAGAGTGTGTATAACATCTCAAATTGTAGTGAAGTCTCGGACACTTCGGGTGTATGCAGTGCTCCGATGGGTATTACAAAAGTGGACTGCGCTGTGCCAAATGTCAAACAAATTGTTCGAAGTGTATAACATTCGACTCTTGTTACAAGTGTGATAACAACATGGTGTTGGATTCAAATGTTTGTAAAGAACGCTTGTATATTGAGCATTGTGTTAATGTCACCAATTCATTGTGCGAACAATGCGACTTTTGGCACAATAAGAGGGACGATAAACTGTTTTGTGACACACTCAATTTGACCAAAACATTACTTGTTATATTTTTGGGGTGCGTTTTGGTACTGATTATTACTTCGATCGTTGTGAGTCTCATCGGATACCAAATCATACATTCTCGACATCTTTATAATGAGAGGAAAAAGAAAGGGGTAATATCAGTTCATGACATTAAAGAACCATTAAACTGTTTTAAAGATGGGATATACACTGATAGTTCAATTTTAGATCTGGGAGTTGATGTCCCTGTTAATAAAATAAGCACATTTACAACACTTTTTGCTAACAAATCCGATTTATTGGTCAAGCTTCAATTGGTCTATAGACAAAACAATAGTTACGATATCACCATCTCTCCTCAAGTTGTAACTTTGCGACCCAATGACGCATGTGTTTTTACAATTGATATTACACCGAAATACTCTGGCGATTTTAACGAGTTTTTAACTTTAAGTTGCGTATTTCTACGTCGTGGAATAGAAACAGTGAAAGCACTCCCATTAGTCTTTTCTACAGAACTTCCAACGTGGATAGACAGCAGTTGTATCACCAATATGACTGAAATAGGACGAGGCGGGAATGGTACAGTCTATCGAGGTATATACAGAGACAGAGTTGTGGCAGTTAAGACAATGAAATGTGCTAATATGTGTGACACAGACGACGAATTTACAACAGAAGTTGATATGTTACAAAAAATGCGAAGTCCGTTTGTTGTTGAATTTGTTGGTGCTGTACTTGTTGGGGAGAAAAAGATGATTGTCATGGAATTTATCAAAAATGGGAATCTTGAAACGATCATAAAGAAGTATACATACCAAAAAGATGAAAAAGAAGAAGTGCAAATTATAAAAATATCAAAAGAAAAACAGCAAGACGTACAAAACACAATTCAAGACAAATCAATTAGAAACGATGAAATAAAATCAAGTGATGAAAAATCAAATGTTCTGTTGCAGACAAACTTGTCACTGAAAAATGGAACTGAAAACTTTCAAAAACGTCCGTTATAAAATCTTATTAGATGCAGCCAAAGGAGTAGAGTACCTGCACACCAACGGTATTCTCCACAGAGACATTAAGCCCGGGAATATATTAGTAGAAGAATTGGAGAATATCACCGAGGTGAATGCAAAATTGTCTGATTTTGGGAGTGCGAGAAATGTGAATTTGTTGATGTCAAATTTGACGTTTACTCGAGGAGTTGGAACGCCTTCGTTTATGGCACCAGAGATATTGAACGGACAGAAATACTCAATTGAAGCGGATGTGGATGCACTTGGAATAACTTTCTTCGAAGCGTTTGCGTGGGAAGAGGCTTGTGTGGATGTGAAATATTTTTTTGAAATAGCAGAACGTGTGTGTAAGGGAGAACGTCCGAAAAATAAAAATTTGACTGAAAAAGAAATAAAAATACTTGAAAAAATGTGGGCGCAAAATAAACATGATAGAATTCCAATAGAAGATGTTGTTAATATTATGCAAATAATGTTAGATAAAGTTCGATAATGTTATTTATTATTCATTCTGTTTTTAACGCTCAAGAAAAGTGTTATTGTTTTGATATTATTTATGTTTTTTTGTTTTCCCATTATTTTTATTTAATGATACTATAGTGAGAAATTTTTGTTGAAACAATCAAAACAAAAAGTTGTTAATAAAATTTATTAATAATAAACAATAAATTTTTAATTTGTTGTTAATTATCTTTTTGACATATTATATTTGAAATTCAAATTTTCATATTTTTAAAGTTTGAAAAACTTAAAAGTCATTGACGATATGAGTAAATTGGAAAGAGTGTATTTGATGAATGTTACTTTATACGTCAACACGGTAGATTCTCTTAAAACATTCGAACAAGTTAACAAAAAATGTTTTGAGTGTTTGCAGAGTCTATTCATCAACCCTCTTATTAATTTGGAAATTGAGACTTTTGTTCTATTTAAAGAGCCTCGTGAGGCTTTATATTCTTCAATCTTCAAATTTATAATAAAAGCGTTTCCAAAGATTGAAACTCTTCAGTGTTACGATTACATGTTAGGCAACAACGACAAACTTGTCCACAAAGTCAAGAAAATACGAATTGTAAAAACCCCACACAACAAGAAAAATTATTACAAGAACATTCATTTGCCACATTTCCACCCACAAATAGTCACATGTGCTATCCCAAAAATAGAAAATTACTATGTTGGCACAAAATGCGCCAATTTGTTGCCAACTGACAATTACACCAATCTTAAAAGTGTTCATATGAATGGGTGGATCCGTAAACCAAACATTTTACAAAGGATTTTTGAATTAAAAAGTGTCACAAAAATAACAATTTGGAATTGCACCCACCCGACCTTCTTATCATCAATCGAAACGCAAATTGAAGCGCGTCGGATGAAAAAAATGGCAAACGTAAAAGTTTCAATTTTTATTGAAAAAACGGCAATCAGAGAAATACTTAAAAGGGATTTTGATGTTGCTATTTTAAAGCTAAAGAAACTAAATGTCGACGTATTTGATTGTGAAGAGAATGTTGTTGACCACTGTGGTGTACTTGATAATTCGAGATTTACTGGGGAAGTAGTAATAACAAATATGAAAGGATTGGATTTGGTTGGGTTTAGAAGAGACGAAGAGGTTCAAACAGAAGACCAATTTGAATACATCGGATATAAAAAGTGGATTGAATTAACACGAAAAATTAATAACAACAACACACAACAAAGTGTAGAACAAAAAGATGAGCAAATGACTACAACACAAAACGAACTTATTGAATACAAAAATGAAATCGAGACACAAAAGAGTGAAGGAAGCAATGACAATTTGAATGAAGGAAATGAAAACAATACGACACATGATGAAGACACAGATGAAGACTTGCTATATTCAGAAAGTAATGCAATAACTTCTTCACAAAATAATGAAATTCAAACGGATATTCCAATGACATGTCCATTAGTTGTATTAGACAATGTAATGACTGAAGTTGCGCTTTTAACTCACCAAATTACAAAATTAACTCTTTTCAATATTTCTAACATCAAATTATCAAAACTATTTGCGACTACTATTTTAATTGTGAAATGCACAAAACTTGAAGTTTCAATAAGTGCTGTCGACATGATTAATTGTATTAATTCGTCACATATTAAAATTGTAAATTTTGGATATATCAACTTTTTTAATTTGAAAACATCAAATAATATTATTATTGAAAATCACACAAAGTATCATATTATGAGTATCGTCGCATCAAATATAAAAACTCTTTTACTTGCAAATTGTATTGTTGAAAATATAAATGTTGAGAATTGCACAAATTATGTGATGTCAAATTGTGAATATGGAAATGTTGAGTTTACAAGTTGTGACAAAGTCTCTATGGATCTGACAAATAGACAAATTAACTCTTTTAAAGTGAAAACTTTATCATTTAATCGCATCACCAATTCAAACATCCACACACCTTTAAAAGCAATTTTGAAAATTTCCAGATCACATTTTGCACAGTTTAAAAACATTTTTGTGAACACTCTAAATGAGTATTTAAGAGAGTTTGACAAACTCCAAAAATATGACAACGATAATGAATATGAAGTCAATTTTATGAATGGTGTGACTTTTATAAATGGGAAACTCACGATGGTAACTTTTAATAACGCCAACAAAATCCCATCTTTAGAAAATATTGATGTGAAAATTTGCAACGAAAAAGAAATTAAAGAAATTTTCATTGAAAAGGCGAGACGTGTTTTTATTGATGTAAATAATGACATCAAAGTCATTTGTGGAGAAGTTGACTCTGTAGTTAGTACTTGTTATAGTATTGTTTACCGCGAAGAAAAGTATTTGAAATATGTAGAAATACAAAGGTGGATGGATGAAACAGATTATATTGTGGAGGTGTACGGGCATGTTAAATTGTGTGCATATTATATCACATATCCATATAAAGATCTTAATTTGAACGATTTTTATTACGATCAAAATGATCATATCGTTATTAATGTGTTGAAAGCCGAGTACATCATTAATTTGTCTGATATGCCTATAAAACGTATATACATCGAAAGAACCTCGAAGTTTTGTGGTAACAAATTAATACTCAACAATATAACCGAATTTGTTGATTTAAAAAATATTGATTTTAAGGAAATAGTCGGAACAAAGTGTTTAACAATTAATAGAAATTACAAAGAAAACAAATACGAGAAAACCGTGTTTGAAGCACAAAAGAAAAAGACGCGAGTGAGTTGGGCGAAATGCAAGAAAATTGTTTGTAGTGAAAGTGTTGAACAAATTGTAGTAAAAACATGTGACAATTTGGAGGAAATTGTAGTTGGAGAAAATGTTGTTAAGATACACGTGCAATCGTGCAAAACATTGAAACGAATTATTGGAAAAATCAAAGGCGTGCAAGTTGTAGTCAAAAATTGCCCATTACTTGGATTTAATGATAGAAGTTATCAAAAGGGAAAAGTTTTGTTTTTGCCTTAAATCAATTAACGAGTTTATTAAAAGACATTTTTGTTATATTTCTAAATGTTGTATAACCACTTTTAATTACAAAATTTGTTTATAATTAAAATAAAAATGATTGTTCAAATTGTGTTAAAGTTGTTTTTAATTTAATAATAAACTATCTGGGTTAGTTGTATTTAACTCAAAACAAATTAATGATACATTTAAACAAATATTCAATTGTCAAATACATGCCAATTATAATTATTGTTATTACTAATCACTGTAAAGACATATAAAATAACAAAATTAACATTGTCAATTTTGAAATCGTTTAATTTATAAAAAAATATAAATTAAATAAACAACTAATACAACCTGTTTTGCATTTATTAATTTATGAAGTTTCAAGACGTCGATATTATTATTTTTTGAAAGCTTTATTAAGCCTTATGGAAGAAACAATAAACAAGATAATACAGTGTTTTATCTTATTTTTATATTTAACAATTTTTAAAAAAAATAGAAGAAAAATGAAATTGAAAAAAAACAAAGTACATTTCCAATGAAATTAAACAAGTATGAGACGTTTTTTTAAAAAAACTGATCATCTTGAATTCAATGACGAGTTAATTAAAAGAATTAAAGTAATAATTAGTGGTGTCAGTGTGTAATAATATATATCTGTCTTTTCCGTTTGAACACCAAAAAATTACACAAAAATTTTCTTGGTGAAATTACCATCATTTTTTAGTTTTATATTTTTCCAAAGTTACAAACTCTGAGTTTTTTTGTTTGTGAAATCTCATTTTTGAACTTTGATTTGCATATTTGTAAAGGATAACATGTATTGCAATATTTTAAGTGAATAACAATACTAAAATGTAATTTTTAACAAATTGTTCATGTTTCTAAAATGTGCAAGTCTCTATTATAAAGAAACATTTGAATGTGTTTTGTCATAAAAAAACTATTGTTTTCCAAATATTTCGAAATAAGTCAATTAATTAATTAACGTAATCAGAGTAACCGAATATTTACTCTGATTAAAAATTTTAAAAGAAACAAAAACGAAAAAAACAATTATATTTTTCGTTGTTTTTAACACTTAAAAAACACTCCCTATTAAATGTGTATATAAATATTTATTTAATATTTTGGGAATTGACTACTTATTTTTTAATAGTTTAAATATGGTAAAACAAACTATATTAATAAATTAACAAAATAATAAATTATTTACCAAGTGCAGAAAAATACAAGAAATAAACAAAGTTTTTACGTGTTAAAACAATTTGTCGTTGATTCACAATGTCTTGTTACACCTTTATTGTTCTGTTTTAATTTCCAAAATCATCAAACATACTTGTTAACACCAATTATTAAACTCAATGTGTTCACCAAAATCAGTCAATTACATTGCAATTTGTAGTAAGAACAGTCAATTAAAAATATCAATTTTTAGAAAATGTAAACTTGAGTTAAAAAGTTTTCTACCTATGTGTAAATGGCGTGTAATGGTACTGTTGAGTATTTATAACATGAACTTTGTTGTAATTTTTCATTTGTTAAATAATTAAAATAGTATCTATTTGTTTTTAAACTAAAAATCAAACTAATGATATGAAACTAATTAAAAAATATTATAATTTTGACAGTCAATGAGATCTTTGAATTGACAATTTTTTTTAGTAATTGTTAATTATATCACCAAAAAGACGAATCTTTTTAATTAATTTGGTTTATTATTACGTTCGATTCCTATTACTTAGCAATTAAATCGATATCAAATAAAAGCCAAATACAGTCATTATTGTCAAAATGACTGGGTTTGGGAAAATGGTTATTGTCAAGAAGACTTTTTGAAAGAAAAATAACTTATAAATAAATCAAAAATAGATCGACAAAATAATTATGTTTTGACAATTTTAATATTAAAACTATTATAAATAAAAAAATTCAAAATAAATAAATTTAAATATTTTTGTGATTTAAAGATTGAATAAACTGAATAAACACATTATAATGAAACCAGACAAAACCATTAAATACAAAAGGGTTTTTCTTGAGAATTGGCAGAGAAAAGAGTTGCTGTCAATTAAAAAAAACAATCCAAATGCTACTGCCAAAATGATTAAAGAAATGTTTCTACAAAAATGGTGTCAATACATCAATAGAAACTGTCAGAAAACTAATTTCGAAATATCAAAACGAAGACTTTGAATTTACCAGAGACACTCAAAAAGTAGAAAAAAAAGGTAAAATATCCATTATTGGAAAGTGCTACTGTCAACACTATAATCGAAATGAGAGAATTCAACATACCTGTAACATATCAGCTTATAATGTTTATCTGAGAAAGTTATATAAAACAACATAATTTGGTTGGAATAAGATGTTCTTTGGGTTGGGCACAATAAGTTTGCGAAAGAAATGGATTTAAAAGTAAATTACTATGCGGAGAATCCCCTTCTGTTGATCTCAAAAATTACACACAAGAAATTGAACACCTTAAAGATGTCATTGCACAGGTCTTTATTACAAAGCTTTACCGACGACAACTTTGACTAAATGTGAAACAAGTGGAACCAAGAAAATCAAAGACCGAATAAGTGTAATGGTTTGCTGCTCGTGTATTGGAGAAAAAAGACCTTTACTATTCATAGGACTTTCTGAAAAACCCAAGTGGTTTAATGATAACAAATTTGGAAAATATAAAATACAGTACGCGAGTCAAAGGAATTCTTGGATGACAGTATAATTGTTTCAAAAGTGGATCATCGAGTGGGAAAATAAACTACGTTTTTTTTTCAATAAAGATAAGATACTAATAATACTTGATAACGCACCTTTTCATAAATTGGTAATGATGTCGGAAAATTTTTTAGAAATTGAACCAATGGGTTACGAATACATTGGATTTGACGATAAATTTAAAAAACATATCTACAATATAAAACTGGAAAAATGCTGTTGAATTTTTGGCTCCTAATACTAAGTCTGTATTACAAACATGTGATTCTGGTACAATAGAATGCTTAAAAAACTATACAGAAAAGAACTGTTGACAAGAGTTTACAACAATTTTGAACACTCAAATTGTTGAAAATCAATTTTGTTTTTTTAAAAATTACAATCGGTGAAGCCATTGAAATTGACTCAACATAATGGACACGGGAAGTTAGTAGTGTCAGTATTTCAAATTGTTGGAAACATACCAAACTGTTCAAAAAAAGATAACGAAATTGAAGTCGAAGTGGTTGGAAAAAATTTGATATCTGATGAATATACAACAACTGATTTGAGTGGAGGAAATGATCCACTAGTACTTGATGATAATAACCATTTCGAAAAAAACTGAAGAAATGTTCACCCAGTATAAGAAAAATGAACATGCTCAAAGGTTAAGAAGTAAACTAGAAAATGAAATGAAAAATTTGCAAATATTGGATAAAAATACTTTTGCACTCAAAACCAAAATTGGTGCTGATAAGGAAGAATTGGACCGCTTGATACGTTCTGATAAAATGTTAGAACTTCTTTATTTATCCGAATAATTAATTTTTAAAATTATTAGATTTTATGTTATAATACCAGTAATTTTATTTTGCCGTGTTTTTTATATTAAATCTGTTTTTATTAAATAATTGGGTTTTGTGTTTTATTGCCAAGAAGATTAAAGTTTAAAATTAGATAATATAAGCAGTCAACTATATAATAAGTCTTCTTGACAATAAGTCTACTAGACAATAATGACTGTATTTTTTAAAAATATTTAATTTGATACAACATTGGTTTAACCATTATTTTAACAGAAAAATGATTATAGTGTATGTTTATTTTGTTTTTTATTAATAAAGTAAGTAAGTAACTTTATTAAAATATATAATAATAAGAAATTGAAAAAAAACACAAAAATGCCATAAACATCTTTAATAAAGTCGTGCAAATACATAAAATTTGGGATACAATTAAAATACTAAAAATCAAAAATGTTAATAACAATATAATCTGATGTTGTACATTATCTGGAGTTAAAAAACATTGTATTTGATATCTTATATTCTGTTTATATAATTTTTGGTTCCAATTTAATTTTTGTTTTTTAATCAAAATAATGATTATTTCAGTTAAGAAAAACAGATTGTATTAATTTAATTAATTGAACAATAGTTTGTATTATCTGTTTTTAAATTAATTATAAATTGAAATAAATAGAACGAGAAAAATATAGTTTTTTGAATAAAACTAATGATTATATGTTTAAAGTCTCTGTTTTAAAAAGAAAAAACACATATTTAAAATTGTTTGTAAATAAAAAAATAAAATTAAATATTCTATAAATTGATAATTTATATATACTTTTATAATTAATTGTATTATAAAATGATCATATTATTAATTATAGTATTTTTTGATATGAAAATACTATTATTTTTACATGCCAAAGTACATGACCCGTTTAAAAACCAAGAGTACACAATCATTTTGTAATTGTTCAATGCTTAAACCGGACTTTCCAAACACTCAAAAGCAATAAAACATTTAAATTACTGAATTTTTGCAATAATTTTTTTTGAAGCAAAAAAGTGTATTTAAATTATCATCTTTTCCATTTAGAAAAACAATACGAGTCAGCAGTTTTACAAAACCAATATTTAAAAAGTTTTGCATTCAACAACGTTTTAAAACTTAACATCAAAATGTTAAAAGGTTATCCGACATAATAACAATCGATAACAGTAATTTAAAATAGTACAATATGGTCTCAAGTCAAACACTTTACAGTGTCATATTTAATAGAGGTATTCCAGAACAGCTCTTATAAAATAAAAGCATTGAACTTGTCAATCAAATAACAACACAATTTCCACATTTAAAACCAAGAGTAGACAATTAAATTATAATAGAAGAAATTCCTCATACATCTGACCAATATACAGGTTGATCAAATATACTTAAATTGTTATCCATAAAGTCTTGAATACTATAAATATTTAATCTGTTCGCTAACATGTGTTCTATAATCAGGTTCTTTCATAAATTTGTTATGGTAAAAACAGTTTTATCAACCATTTAAGAAACCATAATCAATCGTTTTGTTGATATATTTTTTATATTCGGGTGAAATGTTTTCGATTATAGGTTTCAATATTGGTTTTGTAGATTTAATAATATGATCATTTGTTTATTTAATAGTTTTAGGAATGAAATTATTATTTTTCTCTAATTTCTGCCAAAAACAGAGGAGATTTTACCATTAATTTAAAATAGAAATTAATTTTACTTAATCCATATATTCTTAATATCATTATGACCAAAATCTTTTAATGATTTAAAAGGATCTGATCTTTTACGAACATCTATCATTCTATCTCCAAATTTACTACATGTTAGGAATTTTTTATCAGGTATATTCATAATTGCATTTCCAATAATTGGAATTGAAAATACGGCTATTGTTTTACAACATTAGTCACTTTTGACATTACATTTCCATATGTTTTTAATATTTTCCCACCTCCTTTAACAATTTGTTTGCAATATTTTTTAGTGTTTTATAATATTAAGGTGAACGCATTTAAAATATCAAAAATTCATATTTTTACAGTAATAAATGTCTGACATAAGAATTCCAAGTGTTCTTGAAAATGCTTACAGAGGAGATATCCTAAAATATTTCGATGAACAACAGAAAATAATTACTGCAAACGATGGCGTTCATGATAGTAGAATGATTGCTGTAAATGCTTATCAAAGATTCATTGACATTTGTCGAAATTTACATTTATCGGACATGACATTTGTCGAAACCCTGGTGACATTTGTCGACAATTCTTTTGAATTATTTATAAAAATAATTTGAATCAATAACATATATAAAAACCCAAAAATGTAATTGCCACTCAAACGTTGATGCAAAAATAACAAATGATGTGGCTTCTTGTGTTGAATCCCATTTTATTGTAGACCATTTAAAAACAAAAATCAAAAACATAAAGAATCACTTAAACTATTTATGTTGTAATAATAAATTATAATATTTGATAATTAAAATGCATTATATTCAATAATAAAAATTAATAAAATGATTTTGAATTAAAAAAAAGAAATATATATGTATTCTAATTTGTTTAATATTATAAATACATAAATAAATATTAAAATTAATAATTATCCAAGTGCATTTCATAAAACTTGAAAAAAACATATTTAAAGGAATATAATCGATAACTTTAAAATATAACCTTTGACATCATAACTAAAAATACAACAATATTAATTATACAATCATAAAAAGTTCATACACCATGTAAAAATAAAATAAATAATTATATTTAAACTGTTTTAATCTTAAATATTACAAAGATGAGTCGGCCACCTCTTCGGTTTTTTGATGAATCAAAAATTCCAGGACGTCTCAGGTCTTCACATCCTTTGCTGTGCATAGGAAAGATTTGTTATGTACAGAGGAGTAATTGGGACTATGAAAATTACGACTTTGTTTATGAGTGTGCAGGTGATAAATGCAATGTAACAGTTTATATTGTTGGTGATGACTATGAAATAGTTGGTGATCATAGTTGTGTTTGTGACCACGAAGCTAAATTTATGGCAAGGTGTCGTCACGAATCTGCATTCCTTGAATTTGAAAAATCAATTAGCGACACGCCCCGCAATATTGCACTTCGTGTTCAAACACATGAATATTGCAATAAAATGACACACTTAGAAATGCAAGCTTGTAAAAGATATATTATTCGACTTCAATCTGCAGTACTTGGACCCAACCCAACTTCAATGAATGACATCACTCTGAGTGATACTTTGCGGACAACTATAGAGAGAAAAAGCGAAATAAACCCAGACAATATGTTTATGTTTTACGATTCATTTGAAAAAGATGATTCTCTCCCTCGTATTTTAGTGTTTAGTTCTCATTTGCAACAACTTATTGCGTCTAAGGCAGATCACATATTTGCAGATGGAACTTATCATATCACACCAAATACAGTTCAATGTCTGTACACCATACATGCGTATGTCGATAACACGTGCTATCCCGTTGTTTTCATTCTCTTACCCAACGAAACCGAAGAAACTTTTACTCGTGCGTTTTCAACACTTATTAACGTCTTCTCAAATGTAAAATTTGCACATTGTGATTGCCAACTATCGGCCATCAATTCACTTATTAAAGTGTTCAAAGTTGACATAAAATTGTGTTAATTTCATCAAAACCAGGCAGTTTTTAGGATGGTGGGTAAACTTGGTTTATCAACGGAGTATACAAACAATGCAAAACTTCATTTGTGGATACTTCGTCTTTATGCTTAACCTTTCTTACCAGAAAACGAAATAAGTAAATGTTTTGCCGATACTTTTGAAGTAATGTCGCTGTCAAAAGGCTATGGTGTTACTGAAGAGGTGAGAGAAAGATTTATCGAGCTTTTGGCCTACTACAAAAGATTTTGGATCGAAAAAATAGGAACGAAAAGGTGGTCACAGTTTTTTGTTGAAAATAGAACAAAGAACTTTTGTGAGGGGTTCCACAATGGAGTTGGATTGAGTTTCCAAATAGCACACCCGAGGTTTGTAGTTCTAATAGACATGCTTAGACGACTTGAAAATGTTTGTAGACAAAAGTGGGTCGATCAAATTACATCTCACGATGTTGAAATTGTTTATAAAAAGACGAATGCTAAACTTTGTAAAGATTTAAATAAAACAATGCAAAGTTATTTACTTGGAAAATTTGAAACACAAGTAATGTACTTGGACGAAATAGCAAAGATGAACATGGAATACAATTTCAAAACAAAAGCTTCTCGTCATAATATTTCTAATACTGCTATTACACGTTCAAAAGAACTTCTTAACGAAATGAATAAACTTATTGAAAAACAAAAGGATGTCGTTTTTGATGAAAATGGAAGTTCTCCGAGTACATTTGATTCCACACTTCCAAACAAACAAAGTGAATTGGAATTCGATACAACAATTTCTTATGTTAACGAATACGAATCATTATCGAGTAAAACATTAAGTAAAATAATGAAAAATGATGACGATAGTGAATTTTCAACAAGAAATGAAACTCCAACAATTATCCAAGATGAAATTGAACTTAATGAATTTAACAAAACCGATACAAAAATCCGAGTAACAAGAAAACTTGCAAAAGAAAAAACAAAAGTTAAAAAAAACTTTCAACTTTAAAAAAACCAAGAAAATGTCGAGTTGAAAGAAAAAAGAAACTCACTATATGCCAACAAATTGAAGTTGAAAAAATAATACAATACAAATGAATAAGTAATTTGTGATATTTGGTTAACTTGATTAAATATATATTTCTTTTTTTTAATTCAAAATCATTTTATTAATTTTTATTATTGAATATAATGCATTTTAATTATCAAATATTATAATTTATTATTACAACATAAATAGTTTAAGTGATTCTTTATGTTTTTGATTTTTGTTTTTAAATGGTCTACAATAAAATGGGATTCAACACAAGAAGCCACATCATTTGTTATTTTTGCATCAACGTTTGAGTGGCAATTACATTTTTGGGTTTTTATATATGTTATTGATTCAAATTATTTTTATAAATAATTCAAAAGAATTGTCGACAAATGTCACCAGGGTTTCGACAAATGTCATGTCCGATAAATGTAAATTTCGACAAATGTCAAGATACCCTTATCAACAGCAAGTTCCATTTAATAGTAATGCTCATTCTAAAATAGTGATTACAGATCCATCTTTCCATATTACTAATATTGATAAGAGTTGTTTAAGTGCAAACATTAAATTAAGACTTAAATTAGTTCTAGATGAATCAAGAACTGCAACCACATGTGTTGAAAAGAATCTAATGCTTGTATGTTATTTATTGGTTTAAAAGATTCTACTCAATGGCTAGACAGTATGAAAATTAATTGGAAAATGGAACTACATATTATGAAAACACTAAGATGATATACGAAACAACTATTTCTGGAATGTGTAGAACTCAACAAGAAAAAGAATCTAGAGCTGGTGTTTATACAGCTTGGAAAATGCTTTTGAACATAAAATAATGTATGTGGAGTATATGTTAAAGTTGATGATTTTCTTTGAAATTCAACATTTGATGCTGAAATGAAATTGATAATTCCTTTAGATAATTTCTTACCTTTACAATCATTTACTTCATATCCAAATGCAATATTTAATGAATTTGAATTAGATATTAAACAAAGAATTACTCAAAATTTTGTTTATTGTCAGGTTAATCCATCAATATTATGCGATGAATTTAATGAAAATCATTTAGCATCTGATAAAATTACGTGTTCAACTTCTGATTGGATGAAAGGTGTGTCTAAAGAATTTACACAAATTGGTGATAAATCACTTATGCTTGGTTATTGTTATTTCTCAACTGGAAATAGCTTTAGTCAGTTTACTGGAACAGTTCAAATTCAAGAAAGTACTTGTACATTATTCCAAAGTATTATTAATGGTTTTAATGTTAAGGATTCGGTATTGAAAGAAATATATGATTAATATAGTAAAACACCATTATTTGTTCCAGCTCAAATGACAACTGAATATGATTTTCCACCAAATCAATCTCTTTCTAGAATTAATTGTTAAAATTTGATGAGCTATCTAAATACATCTTTGTTATTCTTCTTATTCCCAAGATCTAATAATCAATGTACTGTATCTAAAAATCCTCATATTAACGATATGAAAGTTATAACAGCAAACAGAACTATACCAGATCAACAAATGGATACATTATCAAGTGAATTTAGTGAATTCCAATTAGCAAATACCAATTTTGATACATTATTTGTTGCTCCTCAATCTATAATTAATAGTTTAACATTTAATGAATATTCTGAAAATACTAATAATTCATCTAAACATATCAAATATCTAAGTGATGCTACTGATTTTATGATGTCAACTCCTTTAGAAAGATATGGTTCTGGATGCTTCTTTGATGGTTTATATTCGACAGCAAATATTCAATTAACACTTCAAGAAACACCTATGTTTGGAGATTATAATCCATATATTAAACCAAGTGGATATACTGGTTCAGTTAATACTAATGCTATTAATATTATTTTATTAAATGATGCTATGTGGTCATTATCACCAAATAAGGTTGAATTACTTACTAATGTTGATTTAGATACTATGTTCAAATAAAATAATAATAATATATTTAATCTTTATTTTTAGTAATAAATGAAACAACTTTAACAACTTATCAAGATAAAAGTAAAAATAGTGTTTTTTGCACTTCATATTTTAATCCTTCTACAATAACATCTAATGAAATTAAAACTGATAAAATTACAAGCATAGATGGAACAGTAAGTATAAATACAAAAGATATTTCTTCTACTGATTATGTAAATTCTGAAATATTAACATATTATAATAAATCTAAAAGTTACAGCGACAATGTAGCATTAGTATGTAATACATATTCTGATATGATTGCATCAGCGTGTAACGGGTATAGCGACAATGTTGGTTCTTCATGTAATGCGTATCAAATACAAAAACAGCTTCAATACCAACTCCAAAAATAATATATCCATATCCAAATATAATTTCGCAAGATGTAAAAACATATAAAAATGTTACTTATTCTATTAAATCAGAAACTGATAAAACTTCATGTTTCAGAATAAAAATTGATAATGTTACAGAATTCTTAACAACAAATAGAATAGTAAAAGTAGTTCCATATGTAATTATTAATAATGAAATTTATAAAGTTATTGAACAAGTTAGTGGTAAAAGTATGTTGAATGGAAAAATATATACAACAGTACTAAATCTATTTAATATAAATGAGCATCCAATAATAATAATACCAGATACAGTTGGTTATTTGTGGGGTGATGGATATTATTGTTTTAATTATTTCAGTTTATATTTACCAAAAAAATTTACATCAAACAGTGATTTAACATCACTAACATCTAAACCAATATGTGTTTATTCATATTGTAATCTTAATAATTTATTTTATCCTGGTATTAATTATTCAGGAAGTAATCCATATTTAATGTGGAATAATATAACTATAGATAGTAATCAGATATATCTAATAGAACCAAATTTACAAATAACAAATACATCATCTATTAAAGAGATATGTCAAGGTTCTTCACTAAAAATATATATGTCATCCAAAGCTGTATCTAATTTTACATATTATAAAACATATATTATTAATTCATTAGGAAGAACTACCACAACTACAATTTATGATAGTTTGAATCGAGTACTATTTATAATACTTATAATTCTAGAAACGATTTATGGTAATTTTTAAATCACTAACATAATCGAAGATTCCATAATGTGTTTTTTTCAAATCACTAAATGGTTGAATTAGAAAAAATAGTAGAATTAGCATCATTATTATCATTTATATTTATATTAATATTTATTACAGTATTAAAAATATTTACATATTTGTTTAAAAAGAGATTATTCAAATTAAAAGAACAAAAAATATTAACAACAGATATAACACCAAGAATACATAGTGTATAAAATACTACGAAACTACGGTTCTCAAGTTAAAATACTAACTCTAACTCAACAATGAAATAATAATCAGAATCAATATTGATTATATTATTTTTGTAATCAGTAAACCATATTTTTATTTTTCGTTTATTGTCTTTGATTTCAAATGATTTTTGATTATCACTGTTAGCAAAAATTATAAATCCATCTTGTGAAGGATAATAATAAGAAGTATTCAAATCACTTCTTAAAATATTTCCACAATCAATCTGACCAGATGAATTATAAAATCTAGTAGCAATAGTATTACTATATTTATTATTAGTAGAACAAACAAATTCAATTGGTAATTCAACTTCAAATTGATATGTATTTATTACTTTGCAATTATTATTATGTAAATTCATATATAATTTTCTCATTTTATAGAACAAAAATAAACATATACATGAATAACAAATTGTAAATAAGCTTCGCATAGATTGTATTCTATTCGACTTCATTAGTAATATTGAATTAGATGTAATCTTGAAGTGCAAAATAACATGGAATTGTTACGAATTTTTTCATTATCATCAAGTTTTTATCATACTATGTTACCATGATCATATATATCATTGTTGCTTTAGTACTAAAATAGTTTCTTGTCTTTCTGAAAGTATTGTCTTTGCTATTATCCAAATATATTATTAACTTGTCTCCATATTTATAAGATAAAAATCAATTTTTAAATTGTTTATATAATATTTCATCATTCTTCTTAACCATTTGTTTAATATAATCATATTCAAGTTGATAGCATTTATACATATTGTTTTAATTAGGTATGTATTGCATATCAATAGGTCGATAACCAGTTTTATTATGTTTTGAAAAATTAAAGTAAGTAACAATTTCTTGAATAAGTATATCTTGATTTTTGTTTACATATCTTGACATTGTATTATCATAAGCAGTTCTGATAACTCGATCTACAACTCTGTTTTTATAAATATGTTTGGATGAAGATGAATATGTTCTTATATTCAATTTATTGAAATAATTTGACATATAAGTGCTATTCAATGCAGATTCACCATCAAAACGTATGTTGTCAAACACTATTTAAAATACAAGTAAAGTATTAAAAGGCATTATTAAACTCTTATTGTTTTTATTGTATAATGAAAATACATATAAATATTTGGTGTTAATATAAATAATGAACATGAATGTATTTTGTTTCATTCTATTTTCAGAATTAAAGAAAGCTAAATTGACTTCATAACTATTAAAATATGGAAAGTAATAAGGTCTCGAATACAGTTTTTTCATGGTTTTTGGATTAAAGTCACGACTGATAATTTGTTTTTTGTTAACATCTTTCTTCAAAATTGATTCATATTTATTTAAACTCTTAAATGGATAATCAATTGTCAATTTGTTAAATGGTATATTCTATATATCTACTTTATTTCTAGGTTTATTTAATATTTGTTCTCTACGTCGCATTTTTCTTGTTTTGTGTTTTTGAATTTGTTTTTGTTTAATATCAATATCTTCTCTAAAACTCATTTCTCATTTATAATTAATTCAATTATTAAAAATCAAATTAATTATTTTTTATTATAATGTAACGTCATGGAACCTCACTTCGTTTCGGTTCTCCTCTCTGATGTAGTAGTTATAGTATGTCGACACTCTCGAACTCGCAAAATTTTTGCATTATTATTAAAATGTTAGGCTATATGTATTTTGACATGTATTACCCATTTATTATAATATAATATCAATATCAAGGTTATACCTGTATAACCGTACAAACCTCCTCGGGTTCAGAGAACCGTACAGGGTCTGAATGTTACAAAAAAATTTTTAATTTAGTTTTTGACTTCGTTTTTCAATGTGTTTTATTTTTTTAACCCTTCCAATACCAGAAATATACTTGTTATAACACACATACATATCAATATAAACATTAATCGGTAAACTAAAAGTTATTCTAAATTAAACAGTATTTAGTTTTAATATTGTAGTTTTCAGTTCTGGTTTAATTTAACATTTATAATATATAAAAAGTTTGCACGTTTTATTTTTGTATGTTATATAAATTAAAAGTCTAACACAGTTGTGTTATACATATTAGTTATAAAATATATTTCATAATAATTTAGAGTAATGAATATAAAGGTTCTTTCTTTAAAATGTGAAAAAGGTAGTAATGATATTCATATACATTTAATTTATTTTGTGTAATGAAAACGAATTTTTTAAAACGATAGTTAAGAAGAAAAAAATGAAAAATAATTCTCGTATACATATGATTCTCAACAAAATTTCATAAAGTGAGAACGCTAATAATCAGTGTGGTTGCACAACTAATATCATAATATTAATTTGTTTGTTACATATATCAAAATTCAATAAAATATCAACATTTTTACACGTTAGTTACAAAACATCAAAACATTTACAATATAAACTAAATAAAAATAATTACTTTTAGTATTTTTAAAGTATGACGTATCCCTTGTTTTTCAATGAAAGAATTTTTATCAGAATTTTATTTGATATGTTTTCTTATTTTAAAACCCTGTTTTGGAAAGACTTATTGTGTATAGTTTATTATACTATACAAATTATTGATATAAAAAGAAAAAATTTTTAAACTTGAAAATAATAACAAGAAAAGTCGTCAAGTTTTCCTCACAGAAAAAGTGAACCTTTTTTCAACAAAAATACGATTTTAGGTTAAAATTTACTATTAATTTTGTTTTCTGGTATTCCCCATGGTTGTAAAGAGTTTAAAGCGTTTTTTGCATTATTTCTTTCTAATATACACTCAAAATGAATAAGATATAAATAAGTATACATTTTTTGGAAATTTTTGGTACCGGAAGGGTTAAATTGCAAAAATATAAGTGTAAAATTGGTATTCTCAAGCAATTTTTTGTCATTTGACCAAAGAAAAATGGTCGAAACCCCCATATAAAAACTATTTAATTCTTTACGATTTTTGAACATTAATAATCGCAAAAACGAGGAAAATCAATAATAAAAACTGTTTCATCATTTGGAGTTTTTGAGATTTTGAAATTAAAAAAAAAATCGCAGTAGGATATCATAGGGTATTAAAAATGGGAAGGGTTCAAAAGTTAAAAAACCATAATGAATTGATTTTCATAATATGCGATTTTTGCGAGTTCGAGAGAGGTGAACTACTAACGACTTTAATATTTTCTTTTTTGAAGCATATTGTAAACCATTTAAAAAATATTGAGCAACTTTGCATTTGATTACTTCATCATTATTTTCTTCATGTGTCAGGTAATAATCTGACGCAATTGTTTTATTGATAATAATGCCGCAAACTCTACAAAAATCTTTTCTATCAACTAAAACTGCTATACTTTTTTAACTCCAATCAATTGTGTATGGCCTTTTTATATTTATTATCAGATTTTTTTAAATAAAAAATATATCAAAAAACAAATTTTTGGTTAACCCTTCGAGGACGGGAAAAATCAAAATTTGTAAAAAAATTAAAATCTTAGTCAATTGTAATGTAAATGTGACCTTTTTTCTTTAATTTTTTCAAAAATACTAGACACCCTGGAACGACGGCTCTAGTATATTTTTATAGTAAAGTGTTATAAATTATAGTAAAAAAGTGAATTTTTTGTTGAAGTTGGGATGAACAAAGGTTCACTTTTTTGCTTGGTGTTTTCAGAAACAAGTCACGGTTCAATGGAAAAGTCAGATCATATATTTATTGAGATGTCCACAACCAATTACGATAATAAAATTAATTATAAAATATAACAAAGACCAAATTGCATCATAAAACATACTGGTCCGAAATATTCAAAATCAATTGCATCATAAAATAACAAAGAAAAGAAAAAAATAACAGACTTTGAGGTGTCTTGAAATTTCATTATGCAATTGATCTCAAAAACAATAACAAAAGAAATTAAATAGATTTTTTTGTAAACTTTGAAAAATACAAAAATTTAAAAATTGTATTTTGCTATTTTTTTGTAAAATAAATAAGATAAGACGAAAAGACACTTTTGTTTGTTCCGACTTTGAAAAAAATCTTAAAGAACATAAGTGTAAAATAAACAAAAAATAACTAAAATACATTTTCAAAAGTATCAAAAATCGCAAAATCGAGAAAAAATTATAAAATCAACTTTAACAATAAAAATAGTCGCATTAAAATAAACTTTGATCAAAACGAGGTTTTATTGTCACCCGTTGAGATTTACGTCGTGCCACTGTCGAGGAAGCAAGATATAAATTCATTGTTTGCAATTGTTTTTTTATCATTTTCAAACAAAAACAAAAGGCAAAACGTGTTTTATGCAATTTATTTAGAATATAAAGATCTGTATTTGGTAAATAAATGTTTATTTTGCAGCCACTGTTTATTCATTTTCAAGTTATGCATTTTTGGGCAACAAACAAAAAACTTATAGTAAATGTATAGAGATAATGAAAAACAAAGAAAAACACAAGTATAAAGACAACACAACTAAAACCAATGACAACACTTTAAACTATATTTTATAATAAAATAAATTAATATATTATTAATAATTTATCATGTTATTTATAATAGTTTTATAATTATAATTGTTATATATAATAGTAACAATCATCAGACATAATTTTGACACAATAACACATCAACAATCATATCTTTACTACAACGTGATTTCATTGAAGTGATAAGTGATCACATTGATATAACAACGTTGTGTAATTAAAACTATATTGTATTTTATGTATAATTATAACAAAAATGGTATAATCACCCCTTTTATAAAAGATATCATTATAAAAGATACATAGTGTTTGTAATAAAGCGCGTTTTGGCTGAAAACATATAGTTCAAATTTAAAACAAAACAAATAAGCATTTAATTTATATAAACAGAAACACACTCGTTTAGTGAATGATCAATTAAATGATAATATGTGATATAATTGATGTAGTTGTTATAAAGATAACAATTTAATTATTTGGATGTTAAAATCGATTACATACTATATTTCTAAAATTATTTTACCATTAATAATATAGATTCTAAAATAATAATAATATAATAATAATATAATAATAATATAATAATAATAATAATAAAATAATGTTATTTAAACACACCAAATAACAAAAATATTAAAATAATTTTTGTTTTCAAAGGATAATTTTAAAGAATATTTTAAAATGACTGTATTTGTTATTCCACGACAATGGATCAATAAGAAATATGCAAACAAATGTTACTTATAATATTATTAACAGTTATAGTTAAAAATATCAGATAATTTATAATGTATTGTTTATTCAATTGATTTTGTAACGAATTGTGTTTTGTGTTTTTAAATAGGTTTTTGTTTAAATTGTAAAAATACATACAGTAAGGTTACCCCGTTTTGTTCAATTGTTTTAATAATGCAAGACATTATAGTTATTTTTAATTTATGAATACTATTTTAACAAATTAAATGCAAAAAACATTTTTCGTGTTTTATTTGAATATTGCTAAACACTAAAATGGTTTAATTTAATTAAAAGTACTAATTAAATCTTACATAAAACAAAGTCACTTGCTACAAACAAAAAAGTTTGTGATAAACAAAGAAAATACTTGACATAATTTTGAATTAACACGATTATTGAGTTGATATTTCAAGATTTGTGATGGATAAATTTATAGTTTAAAATTGCACTATTTTAAACAACAATGTGCAAAACCAATTTATAATCAAAAATTATCATTTTTTAATCCTTATATCCCGAAAAAACATTTGAATATCCAATAAATATCGTAAATCAACATTAAATAATTGTGTGAAATAACACACAAATTTCTAGTTATTTTTAAAATAAAAATTCAAAAAATAAATAATTACTTATTACTATAAATAACTTTGCCGCATTGCATTTGATTTGACGAAAAAATGCAAAAATCTGCTTCATCATCAGAACTCGAAAAATAAAACAAAATTTCAAACAATGAAGTCATCACCATTGGAAACGAGAGCTTCAGATGCCCAGAAGCACTCTTCCAGCCATCATTCCTTGGTATGGAAGCATCAGGTATCCACGAGACAACTTACAACTCAATCATGAAGTGCGATGTCGATATCAGAAAAGACTTGTACGGAAACATCGTCTTGTCTGGTGGAACATCTATGTACCCAGGCATCAACGACAGACTTGAAAAGGAGATGGTTGCTCTTGCACCACCAACAATGAAGATCAAAGTCATTGCACCACCAGAGAGAAAGTACTCCGTCTGGATTGGAGGCTCAATTCTTGCTTCATTATCCACATTCCAGAACATGTGGATCACCAAGGAAGAGTACGACGAGTCTGGCCCAGCCATCGTCCACAGAAAGTGCTTCTAAAACTTTTTGTTATTATTTTTGTTTATAATTAATCAACTCGAAACACAAAAATGTAACATTATGATATTATTAAAACACTGTTTTAAAAGTTAAAAATATAAACAAGAAAAAAAATATTACATTTTGTTTATATGTTTTTTTTGAAAGTATTCTTTTGTTGTTTGTGATTTTGTCTTTCTTACCTGTTATCTTTTTTTCAGCTAACACATCCAATATCACATTTGTTTCAATGTCAAACGTAAATTCGACTTGTTGCACACAACGTAATGCTGGTAGTATTACACATCCCTTCCACTTCTTTATAATCAATTGTGTATCCTGACATCAGTTCATTTTTTATAGCGATGACAAGGTACAGTCAATTTTGATTTTGAAAATGAGTAATATATTTTTGTGGTTTTATGTTTTTCATCAAAATAGATTTTTTTGATTTTTTAACCTTCAATGACCACTTTCTGAAAAAACAATCCAAACTACTACTGTTTTCCTGTAAATTTACTTGTTAAAATACTAACCAATTATTAATTATTAAACATAAATTAATAAAAATATATTAACCTTACGATTCTGTTACTGTTTTAAATAAAACACAAATTTTATTTTTTGAACTTAATATGATATACAAAAACTTACCTTATGGCGACTCTTTTGAAATGTAAACAGTAAACAAACCAATCGCGCAAACAATAATTTATTGGTTTTCCTTTTTTCTTCAATTTTTGGAAATGTTTTAATTAAAACACCAATGGTATTGGCGTTTTCATCAACAAAACATTTTTTTTCCAAAAAAATGTTTTATAAAAGAAAAAAAAAAGAATCCTAAGGTTAAATACTCGTGACAACCACTTTTTCTTGCATCAGTATAATTTAAAATAAATCCAAAATAGAAAAATGAATTAAAGAATATTATTTCTTTTGTACTCAAACTTGTAACTTCCACACATAGTCTGACTTGTGTAATAACTCATGTTGGGTGTTGTCCACCATCCATACTTTTCAAAAGTTTTTCCAGTTTGTGTATTATCCCACAATAAAATTTCATTAGATCTGTCGTATGTGAAAGTGTTTGTAAACGTTTTATTCCAAAAGTCTTTAGTTACTCTGACACCGACTTTGGGGTAGTATTTGAGTAACAAATCAAGTTCATGTCTTAAAGAATCTTCGTTTAAAGTTTGAATGGTATACCACCCTTGTCCATCAATATCAAGCCACATGATATTAAACTGAACATTGTTGGTGTTGATGATTGTATTCATCTGCTCAACAAGAGCATCAAAAGTGCCAATAAGTGGGCCAAGAGTGAAAAACAGATCGAATTGTGATGTAGTGAAACCTGCGGCGTGGGCGTTGGCGGCATATTGATAAAAATTGGTGTTGATTTGGTTGTTGTATGTAAAAACATCCAACATGTGGAAGTCAGACCACCCATTTGATTTGTAACAGGCATATGTAGAGACTTCACCTCCACTGGTATATGTGCCATAATAAGTCGCCTGTGCCGATGATAAGAATAAAATGAGAAATACCAACATTGTGATTTTTGAGATTTAACAATTATTAATATATCCATTATCCTTGCTTTATTATTAATTTAATCTTCTAAATCAATAAAAATTGGATGAAGAAAAATACTTTAGAGTAATAATAAATCATTTTACAATATGTTTAACTATTAATACTTTTAAAATGAATAAACAGTTAGACCTTAAAATAACAAAAAAAGTAATTAGAACATGTTAGTTTTAAATAATAAAATTATATTATAATTTAAAGTCTCGATTATTTAAGACAACTTGATTTTTCGTTGGAATTATTAATGTGTTAAGTGAAGACATTTTTTATAAAATAAAAATAAAATTATATTATTAATTGTAATAATAAAAAGGTACTATTTTTATGAAAAATAACAATATAACAAATTATAAAAAATGATACTTATTTGTTTACTTTTAAATAATTTGAACCAAAGTCGATAAAAAATTAAGTTTTCAATTACAATAATTTATTTACAATAGACCAAAGGCTAAGTGATATGAATTATTTCTTTAATAATAAACTATAAACTAAGAATTAAAAATAATAATATATAACATTATTTTATGTAAAATAGTAAGTCATACTGTTTGTGATCAAAACTCAGCTAATAAAACGCCGAAAAATCAAATAAAATCAATTGAAAATCAATTTATCTAAAAATAAATAAATACGTATTGGTTCTAAAATATATCAAATAAACACATATTTTAAACATCCACGTATTGTTTATTTTTTCGATTTTATAGATAATTTAAAGAAAACATAAATACTTTTTATTCACAATTAAATACAATGTCGTTACCATCATCTCGACGTTCTCCGAGAAATAGTCATAGTAGAATTGTAGAAACCGAAATCGAACGATTAAATCAGAAAACACAAGAAGCTATCCAACAACCCATTCAACAGCATTCTGAACATCAAAGATTTTTCTTTGAGTACATGGTAGATACACATGGAGGGTTTGACTCGTTGTTCAGATTTTTGGGTTTGAATCCTTTAGTATTTCTCGCTATCATACCAGTCGTTAGTGATATCTATACTGCAAGAAGAGGTAGGAAAAGTTTTTTCTACAATCCAGATGACAGATTGTTGTTGTTTTATCTATTTTTTCGTTACAACAAAATTGTACTTATTAGAAATCTTTGCATTCATTATATAAAAACAAACGAACAAATTGTTAGGGAAGTGTACGAAAGTGCTAAGCTGTTTAAAGTTGTCATGAAAGATTCGTTTATCATATTTAATAATGAAAATTTACAAGGAACAAATTTAAGTGCTATTGTTGATTGTACAATAACGCCAACAAACGCTCCAAGTGGAAGTTTTTCTTCTAAGATGTCGTTCTACAGTGGTAAGTACAAGACGTATTGTATTAAAATTGAAGTTGTTGTTAACTCTGTTACTGGGACTGCATGTTATGTTTCAGAAGGAGAACCAGGTGCTTCTCATGACACGAGATTGTAAAAAAACTTCTGATGATATTAACACCACGCTCAATGGTACTAAACTCATTGGCGACAAAGGTTATAAAGGAATTCAGTCGCTTATCCCCAATGGTTTTGTTCCAACAGAGTCTCCACTTTTGGAAAACAGATGTCTGGTTGAACGTTACTTTGGACGTCTCAAAACTGTTTATGCATTTGCCAGAGAGAAATACAACAAAGATACTGTAATATACGATGATCTAATATCTTTATATTGTTGTTTCTGTAACGTGGATATTGGAATAAACCCGCTTATCAACGTAGATCAGACAAATTATATAAATATTTTAGCAAATTTTGTGAATAAAATTGATGAAAGAAGAAAAAAGCACAGAGACAGCAACAGAGTTTATCGAAGAAGACAACAAGCTCAAATTTTTGCATTAGAAGAAGCAGAAAATCGGTCTCATTTATTTGAAGATGATCGTTATGATGGAGAAACAATATATACATCAGGTCAAATTGATGGCGATGAGACCGGGACGGAACCTTAACAATAAATGAACTGTTTTTGTTATTACAATTCGAATAATTTACTTAAAATAACGGGAATATTAAATGATCATGGGGTTATCATATTAAATTAAATAGATATCTAATTAATTGTTACAAAGTGAATAAGATCTAATCGTCTTAAGAAAAAACAAAACACAAACAAAATAAAAAGATTAAACTTAAAATAACATAACAATTGAATATAAACTAAATATAATTTATGTTTTTGGAAATGAACTAATAGAATACTACTTATATTCGGGATATAACATTAACTTACAATTATTATTTATTCATTTTATTTAAATCTAGTCGATATGTTTGTTGCATTTAATATAAGGTTTCGATATTTAAGATATCTATTACTACATAAATAATGTAGAATATATAATATTAGCCTTTGGTCTAATATCAACAAAAAGACCAAAAATAAACAAAAAGAAATTATTTAGTCTTTCTTTGAGCCAGAATTGCTTCCTGATCCAGATTCCGACGTCTTGTCAAGTACACTTGTTGTCTTCTGATCATTTGCAAGTGGAACTTCAAAAGGTACTGGAGCTAAAACGATTTCCTTTTTAACTTCATTTGTGGGTTCAATTGGCTTGTTATCTTGGTTTTTGATTTCTTCGTCTTGTTTCTTTTCATCAACATCAATCTCTTCACCTTCTTCAAAGACTTTCATGTTCCTTTTTCTGACAATATAAACGTGGACGACATAAGCAATCAAAAGTGCAACAATGACAGCAAGTACCAACACAAAGATAATAATGACGGCTATCATGTACATTGGGAACTCAAACTTCTCCACAACACGGGCCATTCGATCTTCTGGACACGTGATCTGTTCATTAGGCAAGTCGGTCAATACAACACCATTGCACGCTTCTTTGAATGAAAATGTTCCACTTTTGAGTTGTGTTTTCACACTTCCACCTGGTGTTGTCGAGTCTTCTGTGAACTCAAAGTTTGCTGTGTTTATTGGAGACAACACACGAAGAACAGTGAAGATCTTTCCACTTGACCCACTTGGTATCGTGACTTTGTAGTGTGCATTTGTGATAGACAATGTGTCACCAAGTGCGTCGTCATCAACTGAAATTAAAGCGGGTTGTCCAGCTTCGACTTTTACGTTGAAATTGGTCTTATCATCGAATATGATTTTCGAAGAATAGATGTCGAGTCTCCCACTCGCAGCGACTGTGATTGTTCTTCCATTAAAGTTGCCTGTTGTTTCCTTTTCAAGTAAAATTGAACCAGTTGAAATAGATAAATCGACATTTGTGATACTTTTTGTTGTCAACGAGTGCGTCTTCACATCAATTGTTCCTGAATTTTCTAATCCATTGATTATTGGGACCTTCATTGGTTTCGTGAATGAGATAATTCCCTTCTTTTCCATTGTTACCATTTCTATATTCGAATTTATCACTTTGACTTCAGTGGTTCCACCAAGCGAAATCAACTCACTGATGTTTGCAGATGTTCCTTCCAACAATCCGTTTGTCGTGTAATACTTTGCAAAAGTGATGTTGGTAACTTCATAGTTAACTGTGTTGACCACTGATTCAGTATTGACAATACACGTCTCTCCATTGCATGGGCACTGACTTCTCTTCCATTTCGTTTCAGATGAGACTTTACCAGAGAACTCTGACGTCAGATCGCATGACAATTCCGGAATTGCAGTTTTGTCCAAGACGGCATTTGACTGTCCAACAATGAGTGCGTAGTTCTGATCATCAATAACATTCTTTGTACTAAATTCGGTTGTTGTTATATGTGAAACATCATTGTTCAATATGAAAGTAACATTCTTATTGCTTGGATCTTTGTCTTTGTACATCACTGTTGCCTTATTGATAATCACTTCTCCAATCACTTCAAAGTTAAACACGACATTCGGATAATTCTTTGTGACTTTTCCAATGTAATCAGCGTCAAGAGTGACAGTACACTCATCAAGTGTCATTTTGTTATATGTTGCATCAAACTTGTTAGTGATTTGGTCTTTAGTAGTTGGGCCTTGAATTGTAAAGTATGCATTTTCCAGTAAATTGATTTTCGCGTCTTTTCCAAAGTAAATTTGTCGAGTGACACTTGGAACATTAGTGAGATTGGTATCAAATTCGAACCCGGATTGTGACGTTGGTAGAGTGACTTCCGAGTTGATATTTAAAGTTGCTCCATTGATGACATACAGTTCTTGTGTTGTCAGTGCATTTGCTTTAATTGTGAGAATAGAACTTGACTGAGTCAGTCTAATTGAATCGATTGTAATGTCTGCACTTGAGTCAATTGTGATTGTACCTGCTCCATTTTCTCCTTCATCGGTTATTTGGTATATATTAAGTGATTTCGTTGCTCTTATATTTATGTTTTGACTCATTTTCATCACAAAGAATTTGAACAACTTGTTGATCACCAAAGTGTTTGTTGTTGGAATTGTAATTTTATTAAACAACGCCGTTGATGTTTGTGAAGGTTCAAACACACAGTCTGTGTTTTCGGTTATCGGGCACGCAAGAGAACAGTCTTGTTTAATCTCAGGGTTGTATGTACAATAACAAATTGCTCGTGAATCTCCTTTGATTGTGTCGCATTCTATATTTTCACATTTGTGTTCTGCTTCACCACTTCCACACAAATCAAGTTTTGAAAAACTACAGTCGTAGTATTCCATTGTGGTTTGAGAATTAAAAACAACTTTTCCTTTCCAAACAAGTTCGGGTACAGTAATCACTATTGTTGAATCCACAAAGGATTTTCTTGTTATGGGGTGGATGCACTCGTTTTTGGCAAGTGAAATAACATCATTGTTTATATTAAAGATGTTTACATTCAAAACAGCTTCTGTGTTATCTGCATCAATTAAAATTTGTCCACCATTATAAATCACCTCATCTGTGTCAAAAGAGTCTGACGAATATACAGTAGAATTCTTTTCCAGTGTCAACAATTTCATAGAAGCATATTGTTTCACTCTCATGATACCTCCATCTTTGACTCGAATCGTTAATGATGTCACTTCAAACGAACTCAAAGTGATATCTCCACTGATCACTACATTGGCAACCAAATTTTCAATTGTGGTGTTTTCTTTGAGTTCCATGTTCTTCCCAGATAACACCACTCCATATGAATCTTTATTCAAATTATTTATGATTACGTAACATGGTATTTTTGCTGTTTCGTCTGCACATGATATTTCAACGCTACTTGCAGAAATATTGAACACATAAATTCCACCATTCTCAACTTTAATCTTCGCACCAGATTTTTTCACATTTACTACGTCATACCCTTTCGTAACTTTAGAGTTATCTTCAAGTTGAATAACATCATTTACAGTACTTGGTATAGTTATAATATATCTTTGAATAAAGTTGGTTGTAGTAAGTGATGTTCGTTTACAATCTCCTTCTTTGTTAAAAGTACACAAGACGTCGTCTGGGCACTGGAAAGCACTCTGAGTATTTCCATTGTATATCAACGTTTTTGAATCGCAAACCATCGAAATGTTATCAAAATCCTTTGTTGGTGCTGTCATTGATACAACTGTGTTAATAAGTGGTATATGTGTACTTCTAACACCGGGAACAAATGTAATGGATTTTGTCGATTCTAAGTTGAATTTGTTTACATTAATAATCGAATTGGTTGATGTTGTTGCTGCAAAGGTGATTTCATCAACAGATAATTCGACTGTGGGACCAGTTATAGTTTGTTCATTTCCCTTAATATTTAAACTCTTTAGATTGTACTTCTGTTGTATGGTGTCAATAAAACTCAGTGAACCCGTCTGTGAAATGTCCACACTTGTTTGCCCTTTCAAAGCCAAATTAACAATTTGTGTGTGTGCATTAATATTCAGTGTGCAATCTGGCGCAACTTTAAGGTTATCTGTGTTATTAATCAAATTGAGAATATAAGGACTTGTCAATGTTACACTTTTATTAATGATAAGATTTTGAATTTCAATTGGTGAAGTCGTAGAAGATTGCAATTTGGCGCCGTCTGGAACTGTAATTTGGTAATATTTATCCTCCAAAATTCCGTTGATAATTGGGGAAGTCGGACAACTTACATTAGTCAGATCAATTTCAACTGAAGAGTCTGGACAAACTGAAGTAAATTGGTAAATTCCATTTTCGTGTACATCAATATTACATTCAACAGTGTCAACAGCTGTACATTTTGAAAGAGCAAAAGAACATTCCCCGACATAGATACGATTACTTTTCATAAGTGAATTTATGTTCTTGCTCAATATGGGCTTCACAGACACACTCAAATAATCAACAATGTATTTGCACACTCCTTCATCTTTTTCAACACCATTTTCAATGATGATATTTTCAATGTTTTGCATAATAGTGAAAAGAGCCACATCGGGATATGTGTCTATTACTGTAAGAGTTGCGATGTTAATTGATTCATAGACATTCATTCGAGTCTTTGAAACTTCGAGATTTGTAACACGAATTGGAGTGTATATATTTGCTGTAATTAAATTAAGTTTAACATTTGAGCAATTCATCTCCCAAATATCCAACTCAAGATTGTTTAGTTCAATAAACGAGTTTTCGGAATGTAAAAAGACGATATGATTGAAGGTATACGCGCTACTTGTCGAAGAAACAACTTTGAGTGTAGAGTCTTTCACTGTTGTATACATTGGCAGTCTTTCTGTGAAAATAAAGCCCGAGTTGCTTTCTTTACTTTCAAGGTAAACACTCTCTACATTTGCATTAATATCAACATTAATCATTTTATTAACATTTGATGTCACTTTGATAGTTTTTGAATTCAAATCTTTCAGATTGAGAGTACCCAGTGCATATTCAGAATTAACAACAACATTTGCAATACAATTCACACCATTTGAATTTACACACCCTTGGGCTGGATCATTTTCAGGGGTTTCAGATGTGTACTTTACATCAAAATTAAAGTCATCGCAACTGAACATTGTCGAAGTTCCATGAACAACTTTCTTGTTATTACATTTAAAGAAATTGGTGGATCCAATTTCACCTCCTTTGATGGGGAATAGTGAATTAATTAGTACGTAATTTGCTGTAGAAACAACATTTTCTACATTTAGAGTAGTGATATTGGAATTGATTTGAATTGTTTTGTCGAAATCTTTGTTTGAGATAACAAGTTTAAATGTATCAATATTAGAAGTCAAATCGAAAACACCAAAGTTAATGAGTTCGATTGTTGGCACCGATGTTATTGGAATTGTTTCCAACGAGTTGTGTATAACATAAGAACAACCTTCTACGTTACCACTTCCTCTCATTATAACTTTTCCTTTAATTGTTTCGTCATTTACGCATTTCAAATGTGCAACATTTACAAAAGTGATATCATTGAGTGGAACCAAATTACTCAAATCAAAATTTCCATAGAACGTGGAAACTGTATTAATAACAACTTTTGGAGTGAGTTTGACTTCATTTGAACAACTGACTTTAGGAGAATTTATATATATTGTGTGAGTTAATGATTTACAGTTCAAATTTCTGTGGTTAACAAATGCTTCATTTGTGTTTATATCAATTTGTGAGTCGGATGTTGTTATACAAATTTGTTCCTCTGTTTTATAATCTGTATGAGATGTTAATATTGATTCAACTGGTCCACATTTTGTGTAATATTTTGCGTAATGATTGTAATATTTATCAGCAGAAATAGTCCCAGATGTTCCACTCTGTGTTAGATTATTAACAGTTAATGCTTTGAATGTCTTTGTTATAACATTAAGACTATCAAAAGTCAGGGTTGCTTTCACTGAAAGTGATCCCGTTGTCAACGTTAACATTTTAGTCACTGTCATATCCGAATCAACAATAACATCACCATTAATAATTACACTTTCTGAAGAAGTGATGGAAACCAAATGTGATGAAGCCAAATTCAAAATTCCTTCAGATTTAACAATTGTGACATCATTTAGTACTGCCAGATTTGAATCGTTGCTGATTTCCAAAACACAATTTGTAGCTTGTATTTGGAACTTTGGTGGTTCTGTTATTATAAATTTGTTTGATTTGTTTTTACCTACCAAAATGAGTTTGGTTACACCCGGTTTAATTGTTCCAATTGTACATGTCGAAGCAGCACAGATTACAGAGTCATAATTTTTTGATATATCAGATGATGTATCACTTTCAATTGAAAGTTTGCATATCGTTGTTGGTGATAAACAGTTGGCAGTTGCGTTGTCGATTTTATTTACTTCTTCGTATCCATTTGCTGTACAAATTTGGGTTGTTGAAGAGACTGCCCCCAACACAACTAGATTCTTACACATCACCTGAATTCCATTTGTATCTCCAGTAATCTGTGAAGTCACCAAACTGGAATTTGTCAAGTTTGCAATAACAATTGGATAGACAAGTATGTTCGTATAATCAGACTTAAGAATGTTTGCAAATACCACATCTCCATTGACAATCAATTCATTCAAATCTCCATCCAAAGATACACTAAGTTTTGTGATTGTTGTTTTTGATTTTTCGTTGAAGATGTATTCATTGCTGTTTCCTAATGTTATCGTTGAGATGGTTTCCTCTCCATTCAATGAGCACTTTCTACAATTTAAATTAAATGAAGAAGTTCCACTTATGAGCTTATAACCATTTGTAGAAGTCGATGATATGTCACTAAATTGAAATGTACTTATTGTGATTTCCTTTGTATTACGAGTTAATGTAACCTTTTTGTTTCCAGTTTCTTTCATGATATTGACATTACCAATTATTGTTGTATCAGTTTGTATTATAAGTTCTTTTATGACAATTTCAGTGTCTGTTGCAGTCAAAGTGTTTGGTGATGTTGAAATTGAAAGTGTTAACGTATCTATACTATACAATGCATTTGATTTGAATTCCATGTTCTTGTTTAATAGCATAGTTGCAATGACATCATGGGCTAAAGTATAAACATTTGAACTCACTCCACTTTCAACAATTATTTGGCATTTATTATCAGTTGTGTCTCCATCAATGTGATTGTCACATGGGCAGTTGACTGTAGAAAACTGGTCGTCATATATATTTGTTTGTTCTTTGACAAAATAACATTTGACCAAGTCTGTCTTTGTACAAACACCCGATCTCAGTGTTGACTTTCCATTGAGTACAACAAGATTTTGGTTATTCCCAGCAACTATATTTGCATTTGGTGAATATACAACGTCCATACAATTAGTCACTCCTTCTAATTCGTTTATTGTTAATTTTTCCTCGTTTAGTGTGTTTAAATAAACAACAAATCCTGCTGTTTTGGGATTCAGTTTTGTAATAGTTGCGCTTCGTGTAAATGTAACAACAGTATTTGTTTTAATTTGTGATAGTGTTGAAATTATTGTTTGAAGAGAGAATTTAATATTGTTTGTTGCTTCAACTTTTGTGAAAGATATCTGGTTATCTGTTGATGTCAACTCAACATTTTCATCATTTTTGATCATCAAAGAGTTAAATGTTTTTGAAAGTGCAATCTTTTGTGTTGATTTGGTAACATACAAATCAAATCCATTCTTTTCGGCGTCATGATTGCAATCAGTTTCTGAGAACGTTTTCCCATCATCCAGAATTGAACAACGACATCTGTTTCCAACAGAAATTCTATTGTGATTTGTACTACAGTTAGCAGAATTGATTGTATCTGAAATACCAGTTGTATAAGACACACAATATAAACTACATTTATTGGTATTCACTGTTATGGGTGTTGAAGTTGTTGAAACCAACACATAATTAGTTCCATCGGTATCTATTTTGGTTGGTCCCCCAACAGCTCCTTTTATTTCCGTTTGTGTCTTGATATAAATGGTAGTGGCAGACTTTCCTCCCATGTTGAGAATAGATGATTCAATATCACTCGTTGAAGTCAATGAAAACCAATTATGTAATAAAGTAACTTCAGATGCGCCTGTATTTGCATTGTATTGAGTCGAATGATGAGGACAGTCTTTGTAATTTAAACCACCTTCTTTGTTTTGAATAACACAATCACAATGTTTTGGAGCACCACTTGCAAAGTATCTGTTGATTCCATTACATGTGATGTAGTTCATGTCGGCAAATAAATCAGTTGATACAAATAGTGGATAATTTTGCTTGTTATCAGTTGAGAATACTTTGACATTTGAAGAGATGATATATGCACTACTCATTGTTTGAAACACCGCTTTAATTGTTTGTGTTGTTTGTGTGGCTATCAATTTGAAATCAATATTTTCAACCAAGATTGTATTTCCACTGTTAGAAACAGTGATTTCATTCATTGGAGTTGTCACTGTTGAAGTGAGTTTAACATCTTTCCAAGAATAACTTAATGTGTATTTGTTGTTTGAAGCAGTATCAAGCATTAAATGGAATACACTTGGATTCTTTGTACAATCAACATCAAACTGACTGAATTTGCAGTCGCAAGTGATATCAGTCGTGGACTTAAAGGCACGATAAAAAACATTGGTGTTATCGCCACAATTCACTACTTTGTATTGATTGTCTGGCATAGTTTTAATTGAATTGTAAATGTATCCATTCGTTTTTGTTGTTTCAGAAGTAGTGGGGAGTATATCCTCAAAAACGGTGTAGGTTTGTGTGTTTTTAAAATTGCCAATTTTGATGTTTTTGCCGATGCGTAGTTGATCTAGTTGAGTTAGCTTCGAAACATCTACTGTACTTATCTCTTTCTGGGTTTCTTCTTTACTCGATATTTGAATTAAAGCCGTTTGAACACTTGAAATTATGTTGAGTGACTTAAAGTTGTTTGTCAATTGTGTAGATTCGGTGATTTTTAAATTATAGTACTTTGAATATTCATTGACGTTACAATCACCTTTTTGGTTCAAACATTCACATCCTTCAGATAATCCATATCCAAACACTCTTCTTTGTATTTCATTATAAAGTTCACACACTTTGTCAGAAGTTGGTGTTGTAACGGACTTTTTCACAAGAATAACACCATATGTAATTTGAGAAGGAAGAGTGATACCTTCGGAATTTTCAACAAGCAAATATCCATCACCCACACTTGAAAAGTCGATTGAAGTAACAGTCACCTTTATATTTGGACCAAACGAAATTGGTTTAACAACATGAAGCGAGTTGAACGTAATTGTTACTGATGTTGTCGAAGTGAATGTCACACCATTTGCACTTTCATAATTCAAATCTGAGTAAATAGACATATCTCTAATTATTTGTACAGTATTAATTGTTGATGGTATTTCAAGAGAGTAAAGGTTTACAGAATCACTTGTGATACATGAATCGGCAGTTTCTTCTTCATAAGTTGATCTTTCACTATCAATTTTTGGTTGTTTCAATATGCATTTACATTTGGACAATTCTGTCTTAAAGTAATATATATTATTTTGACAACTATCTTTATTCAAGTAGATTGGTTTGATTCCACTTTGTGTTCCATTATAAAGGGTAATAATATTTTTATCAACGGTGGTCGATTTAGGTGAGGGACTATAAGTTGAATCACCATCATACATCACTGTAATATTCGCGTTCTTTCCCAATGAAAGTGTTAATTGTCTTGTTGAAAATTGCATTGATGTTCCATCTAATTTTTGGTTAAAATAAACAAGACCATTCACTGTTATTGGAGAATTTATTTTGACGATTTTCGATATTGTCAAGTCTTGGAATATCAAATTTCGTGGGGAATTAAGTGTAAAAATGTTGGTTGTTGAGTCATGAGTATATTTCATTGAAGCAAAGTTTGTCGCTTCTAACCCATAATTGACTATAGTTTCATCGAAATTAAGGGTAAATGGATTTGATACAAACGTATAAAAATTGTTCTGATCCAACTCTTTTCTACAATCAAGTTCTTTGAAGTTACCAGAGTGATAAGTACAATCAAGAGTAGTACCCTTTGTTATTCTTGCAAAAGTGGCATCACTACCACTTCCAATTGCAATTGATTTGAATGTACTTGGTCCTTCAAATTTCTTTCCACTGGCTATTACACACAGAAAATCAGAATCCAATGTTCCAATGAGATTATTTTCAATTTGAAGATCTTCTTTGAAAACAGCAAAAGACATTGAAGACCCAACAGTTAACTTTGTGAATTTCATTGGTGTGTCAAATAGCATTCTATCAACTCCTTTTACGAAAGTAAATTCGTCAAACCACAATTTATCAGTTGTTTTTTCGGAAACAGAGAATGTATAAAATGTATCTTTTGTATCAAATATGACAGAAGTGAAGTGAATGATCTTTGATGAATTTAAATTGAGTGTCCCTCTTTTGGACACAAGTCGCAAATAAGCTGTCGTTGTTGGGTTTCTTTCGGCATATTTTGAACAGTCCCATTCTTCAAAATCTCCTTCCAAAGGCAAAGTACAATTATTATCAGAAGTCTGTTGGACACGATAGTACAATGGATTTGATGATATTTGTTGTTTGTGGAGATTCGTGTCAGTCATAAGTGTTGATTTTTCACTTAAAACAAAAATGGCTTTTGGATTACCTTTGGATGTTTTGAGTGCTGTTGAGTCGAAGAAGTATTGTGTATCAAGAGTACTGTCGAAACTCAATTCATCAATTGAACAAACGGAAAAAGTTATGGCTTTGGTATATGTCTTCAATTTGTTAACAGTGAGGTGTTTAATTTGGGTTGCACCTATCAAATCTGCTTCTTCAAAAGATGATAAATTTAAATTGGTTAAGTCAACAACAGCATTTGAAGAAACGAGTTTGAGTTTATTTTGTCTGTTTTTAGCATACAAATTGCAATCGAATTCGTTGTATTTTGTTGTGTCTGTTGGTAAAGTACAAACATTGTTTGCAGGTGTCACCGTGTTTGTTGTTGAACTGATTCGATAAAATCCATCTGCTATTTTAGTTGAATAATCGTTTACATTTCCAGCAGTTGTTGCTTGCAATACAAAGAGATGTGTTGATGTGAAAGATGAAGAATTTACTTTTTCAACTGATCCTGTAATAATTCCATCAGTCACTTGGTAAGTAATTTCAACTGTGTTAACCTTTGCATTTAATGTGAATGTTTGTAATCCCTTTGGAGCAAACGTTTCTACTTCACCAATCGTATACATCATTCGACCCTCAAGTGATTCTCCTGTTAGACTTGTAATTTTGACGGTTGTTAATGCTAAAGTAAGTTGTTTGGTTTTAATACTTTGGAAAGTTCTTGGTGTGCTGTCTGTTGTGAATTGTGAATTTTCAGGAATGACATTGTCAATTTTGAGAATTTGTGATGGAATTGAATTAACACAATCACCCTCAAGATAAAGAGCGTTATTTGAATCGTCTTTGCCAGAATAAGTGCAATAGTACCCATCAGATGATGATATTCTAAATTTTGTTGTTGTAATTTCATGGTAACTGTACGGAACATTTAATGTTGGCAATGTATCTTCTACTTTTACTTTTACATAGTGCATGACATCCATATTAAACTCCTCTTTTGTTGTCGATATTTTATTGAAAGACCCTTTGAAAGTACCATTTTTGTGTTGTACGCCAATAACTATGTTTTGAACTGATCCATCAAGGGTATAACTTGATGTATTAATGTTCAAAGAAACAGCCTTAATCAAGGAAATGGTCATATCATGTGTTATTTCCATCAAATTAAACTCGTTTGCATCGCTTTTGAAAGTAAAAGTCTTGATAGATTCCATCGTACATTTAAACGTTTTTTTATTTATGAAGTATTTGTTTGAGCAATCCCACTGTTCAAATGAGGTTGTGCTATTGCAGAAACAACCATACCCAAGAGTACTAGTGTAATATCTATTCATAGTAGAATCCAATTCCACATGCAAAACAGTTGTTGGTACTTTTACAATACCAACAAACAATGGGTTCATTCCGTTTTTAACTTCATTTTTAATTTCAGAAGGTTGAGTATTTTTTGAGTTAATAACAAGAGATTTATAAGAAGTTGGCAATTCCAGTATATCAACAATCAGGGCATTGATTATTAAATTATCACTAAATGAAGGGACGAATGTGGTTGCTTTAAGAGCTGTGATAGTGGTTACAGTTGTGGTCGTTTTGGCATTTTTGAATGTATTAACAAAGTTGTCAAAATTATCTGTGGTGATTGTCAAATCAATTCCAATTGAAGCTGTAGAATTGCAATCTGCTACATTATAAACACCATCAGTGTAAGTACATGTATTATCACCCCCTGTCTTTCCATAATATCGATAATGATTGTTTGTTATTTTAATATGATATAACTTTGGTGTTGTATTTGAAATGGTATTGGCAACTGATGCATAAAAGATCGGTAATACATTTGAAGAATCCTTTGAAATATCAGAGATTGTTGAATTTTCGATTATTCTATAGAGATCATCGGCAGTGTTCAATGTCAACATTCCAAGTTGTGAATTTTTAATTATAAATTTAATTGAAGTGATAGTTGTTGAACCACATTTTATATTTTCAATTGCGTAAAAATTACCAATTTCACAACTCAAAAACTTTTGAGTGATCCCATTGACATCGTTCATAACCACCAACGTCATTTTATTTTCAAAGTCTGGAATAAGTTCAGTTTGAATTGCATTACAATCATATTCAACAAAAGTTGTACCAGAATTTGTTGTACAATATGTGTCGCTTTTTCCGTATCTGAATAAAGTATCAGAAATTGCTGTTCCCGTTGTTCCCTCCACAATACCAACAAAATAAATTCCATCCTCATATTTAATTGTGGCAATTGAAGTTGTAGCATACAAGTAACACCCACTTGAACTGACGACCAATTCAGTGTTAATTTTACTGATATTTAAAGTGAACCCCTTTGTTAATTTAACATTGTCTGCTTCTTTAAGAATTGCTGAAGAACCCGTTGTCGTCTCAAAGTTTACAAGTTTGAGGTTTGGTTGATTGATTGGAATATTATCGAATGTGTTGATGTTTTTGATACTTTTAAATTTTCTATCTTTCTCGTCTATTTGAGATGTTGTTGGTATTTTAATATCAATTTCATTAAAATTAATAATAAAGTTGCACACATCTTTTGTTTCAAAGTCTGTTCCGGTTATAGTACAAGTACTTTCTTTTGCATAGAAATATTGTTTATTGGTTCCATCGGTGACATTGTATTGATTAAATTCTGTGGATATCACTGAAACCATCTTTTTGGTTAGTAAAGTTATCGAATTAATGGTTGTCAAATTGGAAAGTGTGATATTAGAGTCTGTTTGAATATAACCATTAACTGAAGTGGTTGTTATCAATGATATTTCATTTTCTGTTTTAATAGCTATATTAAAGAAATCACAAGCAGCAACATCTAAAATACTATGAACAACAAGAGTGGAAGAAGAAAGTGAACAACTAGTTTGATCAGATAGAGTGAGTTTATTTACTTTGAGTGTATCAATGAATATTTGTGTTTGTTGGAGAATCAAGTCAACAAACATGAAATCAACTTTATAAGTGTTTAAATCGCTCTGGTCACAATCAACGAAATTGTAAGATTTGTCGGTTAAAGTGCAAGTATTTAAAATAGATGTGATTTTCGGATCATTTGTACATCTTGAATATTTATCGTTAACCTTTCGACACTGTGGCGATGTGTCAACGGCCGAATTGTGTACCCAAACAAATTTAGTAGTATCTCCAACCGTAAGTGTTGTTGGAAGATTTGACAAAATAGAAATGTTATTTGATGATGTTGTGTATGAAGTGATTTGTATTTTTCCACTTACAATAACAAGTGGAAAATTTTTGTTATCGACGTTGGTGCAAGTCAATTCGATTCCATCTTTAATCTCCAAAACTCCAGCAGCAGTCAAGTCACACTTCGAGAAATCTCTAATGTCACCGGGAATATTGTTTATTTTAGTGACTTTGCTTTGAACAATCAAATCCGAGAAATTTCCAGTTGCATATTTTTCACAGTCTTTTTGAATGAAATCACAAACACCTTCTGATGTGCAAGAAAGCTCACATCGGTTTTTAATATTGTTATTGGAACTCATTGCTCGGTAATACGACTTTCCCAACTTTTCTCCAATTTTAGTTGAACTTATTGTGATCGAATTATCATGTAAAACATATCCGACATATTCCGTTTGGATTTGAACAGAAGCAATTTTCGAAGAGAGACATGTCCCATAAACAAAGACTGGTGTAAACTTGAGGGTTTGTACAGTTATATTAGTCAAGTATACGTTTTTAAAAGTTAATGAAAGTTCGTTGAAAATGTATCCCTCTATCTCTGTTGTTCCTTCGTTGAATTCAAAGTCGTTGAATGTGACCCTTTCTACATTAACAATGGGAAGCTTCTGAGAAGTACCCAAATATTTCAACGTGAGTTTGTTTGAATTATCCAATATGCTTTTAACACAATCTGGTTCAACAAAAGCGTTTCCTTCCGTGTTAATTGTGCAATATTTATTTGACTCCAAATTGGTGACTCTGTAATAATCCGAATTGACTTTAAAACTACTTAATTTTTTGCCTTCCCAAGACGCCGAGGATGTTGATTTTTTACTCAAATAGAAAAAGACAGCAGTGGACTGTGTTGGGTTTGGATCGTCTAAAAGATGAATAACTGTTGGGTTAAAGTCCAAGAAGTTGACACGATTTTGAACACCATGTTTCATATAAAAATAGGTGACATTATTTATTGTTCCTTCAATAGTAAATACGCCGGTAATATTCAGCGTTGTTGCGTTTATTGTATTTGAAGTTTCAGTTATAAAAATTGTTGATGAATCGAAATTCACGATCATCCATTGTCCAGCGGTGAGTGTTGTGGATTCAAAAGAAGACCCATGATAAACCAAAATCATTTCATCGTGTGCAAACTCGTCGCACATGTATTCTTCAAATTTGTTTCCTTCCAAAGTGCAAGTGATGTGTGAGTTTTCAGTTGTGCCATAACGGTACAATTTTGGTTCTTTACTAAAAAGGTGGTTTTTGTATTCAGTGTTAGAAATGGCCTCTTTGGAAACAAGGAAGAACCCTGTTCTTGTTGTTGATACTGTGTATTTAAAATCGTCATGTAAATTGCCGATAACATCGTTTAAAACAATTTCGGATGCGTAGTTCATTGAGATATCAGCCACCTCAAACCCTTTTATGTCAACTATCTTAAAATTAACTGTTGTAGTTTCGGGGGAGGTAGATGCTTGATTGGTAATTGTGACAGTAGTTGATTCCCCACCTTTTGTTATGTTGAGTTGTAAAATTTCTCCAATGTTTTCAAAAGTGGGTGTATCTCCAGCTTCTGGGTTTGTAACATTTTTTCTTAAAACAAAAGTCGCCAAATTTACATTTGAATTTGCTTCGATTGATAAATCATAAGATGGACAATCTCCATAATAATCACATATTGGCGTTTCTTCGTTTGTTCCAGTGCAGTGACATTTACAACCTGTTTCTATTGTGCATTTCATGGCATTAGATAAAGTCACAATAAAGAAAATAATCTTTAACATGATTTTTTAAAGTTTATGAATTTTAATTTATTTCTTTATTAATAAAGTAAATATTTATTTATTTTCATTCTTTTGATTTGATTATTTTTTAATTGTTTCACATATTTTTTGTTTCAATATCAATTCTTGGTTGCCAAATCTTATACTCAATAATTATATTAATTAATATCTTAAATCTATTTAATTTATAAAATTGGACATTATTTTTTTGGAAGAAACATTTTCGTTTCAAACCCAAATATTTTCGTCCAAAAAATAAACAAAAACATTTGTTTGAATCATTTTAAAATTTTTTAGTTTTAAATTTGATTCTTATTCATTCTCATATAATTAAAAGATACCCTTTTTAAAGTTTATGAATTTTTAAAAGTCAATTCAATCCAAAAATTTTATTATATTCTTTATTTCCATGGTATTTTTAATAGTATTTTATAGTATAAAAAGCAATTTATTATTAATTGTTTTTTATATTTAGAATTATTACCCAAATTTTATTTTTAAAAGTGTTCATTTGCATTTTTTCCAATAAAAATTAAAAGTATTTTTTGGATTTGAATGGTTCTCATTCATTGAACCATTCACTTATTGAAAAATCATGTAACAAATAAATTACATAATACATTTGTACTTTTCGTTTAATTATTAAAACATCAACTTGAACAACAAAAATGATAAAATATTGACTTAAATATATATTTCCATAAAAACATCTTCAAAGATATAAATAATATATGGAAAATCCCATCTCAATATTATATGTATTCAATGTGCTTATTTGTAAATTGTTTCAACTCCAAGTATAGTTAATAAACCGATAAACATTTAAAAAACAAATAAATAATATCAATTTATCTAAAGTGTTGTTCTTAAATTGTTTCATCTCAATAAACCAAATTATTTAAAGTAAAAAAACTTACAACTGTTTTATTATAAGAATGAGTTGTTTGTGTTAAATATAAATATAATAAAACAAATTCTATTAATTCATTGATAAGTCACGTTGAAATAACACAACGATAAAAAAAGCAATCAATATAATTCGTCAACAATTACGTATTTTTCTGGTATATTCTCTTTCAAGTCATCATCATAATCATCATCGTCATCATCATCGAAATTGTTACAAATAAGACCATAATACGAGTTTCGTGCCGATTTTGCCACTGAAAATAATTTTCGTTTCCAATCCAATTTCGTAGACGTTTGTAAATCTTTTTCAACATCTGATAACACCGTTTTAAATTGATTTTTGTTATCAATTGAATTGATCTTAAATCCCATATTAAACACGGTATCTTTGAAATTGCTTTTAAACTCATAAGACACAATATAGAGAACTTCAAACATTTCGTCTGCACATACATTGTTCATTAAATTCTATACTTGAGTCATTCGTGTTATTTGTGGTGTTGTCGTTAGTACTTTTGTTAATAATTTAATAAATCAAGTATAGTATAGTAGTATATGGTATTTATAGTAATAAAATCTTATTAAAATTACTAAAAAGGACGACAAAGACACCTCTTTTTGTATTGGTACCAAGAATGTATTACAAATAGGAAACAAACGAGTAAAACATCTGCACTATATTCGAATAATATGGTACTCGATATATTCACATCATTTAAAAACTGAGTAATTTTGCCTGCTGCCTTCAACCCTTGTACGTAAGAGAACACGATATTCCCTCCGATAGTGATCATTTTAATGTTTGTATCACATACCAACAAATGTGCAAAATAGATAACAAATTCTATCATCTCAGCTGTCATATCATAGAATGCAATCAAGTACGCAACACCTTCTAAAAACTTTGCAATATTCTTGCGAAGAGATTGAGTAACAACCATTTCATCTTTGATCTTCAAACCCAAATTTATCAGTCCAAAAACCATATCTTTCACCGTCATATCTCCATACAATTGATCGACAGTAAAATTGAAATTTTCCGTGGACGTCATGTTGGTCGCAATATTATACACTTTAATCAATCGATTCAATCGCTTATGACTATATTCGTAATTTGAGATATGTTGATTGTCTTCGTCGTCCAACTGTTGTACAAAATCGCTGATCACATCACAAAATTGAAGAAGAATTTCTGGGACATCCGTCAACACCCGAAATTGTGAGTATTGTTTGTTTTCTTTCTCTTTCAAATGGATTGAATGTGGCACTTCTGTTTGTATAGCTGGGGTGACACCGTTGATTCCTTGTTCCTTAGTTTTGCGTTTCAGTCGTTTTCGTTTGTCTTCTTTTGCTTTGTTTTCGTCGTAAAACACGTTGAATCGTTCAACAAAATATTTCTTTTGAAAGATGGTCGACGAACTCACCCGTTCCATCAAATATAATAAAAATTTCCATTCATTTTGACAAATTGATGTGTTTGGAATGGTCAAATACTTCTCCCAGTTGGCTCGTAAGAACCGAAGAATAAACAACTCAGACTCCACACTATTTGTTCGGATGAGTGACGAAATGTCCATCAGAAATGTGTAATTGGAGTCGTCAAAGAATTTGTAGAACACGCGAATATCCCATTGCACCCATTTGGGCACATCAAGATCGAAAGCGAATTATAAAAGATTTTACGCGCCTCCAACGCGTCTTTGATATTTCTGCATTTCATTTGGTTCGCCCAGTGAAATGCCATTTCTAAGACCCCATTGTCTCGTATCACTCCCATATTAACTTCGTTGCAACACAACCCTTTGATGATGTTCAGACAGGCTATGGTGATGTCATAGTCATTTTGCCAATATTCGACTATCACCTTCAGTGTAAAACACAATTGAAGAACAACACTATCATGGGCGTTGACATCTTTAATATAAAACCGCGTTTGTATCGGTTCAACAAAATTGGTGGTGTCTCCTTTGCATGGCTCGATGTTATAAATTGCTAAGTAACTCAACATCACTCGTTTGTCAATGGAGTGTTCCTTCGCCAAATTACAATTCACTGCCAATTTTCGCGTCGAAAGTAATTGAGAGAAGATCCCCGACATCATCAGATAAAAGTAGTACACCGCATCTTCAAAGTCTTTGGTCACGTCTTCGGGCTTTTTGTCTTCCAAAATGAATTTAAAAACAGAACAAAGGTTCGACACCATATTCATTTTCTCGTCTCGAGTTTTATTCCCAACAAGTCGTATCGCATGGACATCACGATTGGCAGTATCATTCTCTAAACAGTGAATGATGTCAACAACATACCGGATCACTTTATCATATTGCTTCGAACAAAACGTCGCTATGTCTGCGTCGTTGCCTTCTCTCAAATTCTCACAACTCTCATTCAACATGATCTTCTCAAACACCAAATAAAACGCATCAACGTTATTTGGTGGGAGTCCCAAAATGTGATTAATAACACCTAACATGTAATACATCGTCGTGTCATTCGCTTTTCTAATATAATCATTAAAATTGTCGTAAAACAGTTGCTTTAAATGGGGGACATTTTCTTGCACATCCACATACACGGAGGTCGCAAGTATGTTATTTAATATCTCAAACCCACGCTCATATCCTCTCGGCTTATTCATATAATCAAAGGCGGCTATTTGAAATTGCGTCGTAAGATTCTCAAATAACTTCTTGAATTCAAATCCAATTTGGTTCTCTGTGGTGACATTTGTGTCTGAAACATATTCATCATATAATGTCTTCCAATTCGAATAAGAAATCCGTGTTACTATTTGAAAGTATTCATAACTTAAGTCTTCCAAAGCTACAACAACATCCAAATTGTCATATATGATTTTCAAAACGTCAATATTGAAAAAGTAATAATCGTTTTCATCCATTTCATCACACTTGTTAATACTCAAGTTCTTTAAAATGGAAGCTATCAACGTTATCATCGTACTCCAATTCATCGTATCTTTTCCTATTCGAAACGCACATTCGTCTCGACGATAATAAGAAAGTTCAAGACGCTCATACGCACTGATTAAAATCGGTATCATAACGTATTCGTTCAAAAACAATCGAATTCTATTGGGATAACTGTCCACATCTCGTGTTTTGTCAAATATCTACGTTGTTATACATTTAAATTCCAATTAATAAAGTGTTGTGGTGTTTATATACATTTGTATACAATTCTATACAGTCAAATTTGATGACTCCGTATTATTGCTTGTCATGTGACAAATACAAATTATGATAAACAAGCACATTTCGTCTTGAATTCATAGTTTTCTTGAACTTTGACACAATAGTATTGGTTTTATTTTTTATAGTATTTAAATAAATAATATATAGTATTTAATACTATTATATATTAATAGTATTAATACCATGTTTACTGTACAAAGAAGACAACAAAAGGAAAACAAACTTCAACAAAAGCATTAACAACATCACAAAATTCGTTATACGGAGCTATATTCAAATTTTGGATGATAGTATATAACTCATCCAAATCGTTATCTATTTCCCATTTTGCGATGATAACAGCAAGTTTGAATTTAATTGTATATTTGTGACAAAGATTGTATTCAGAAGTCTGTACCATAATTTGTTGTTCGATTTCACACGCCCTTCGTAATACGTTGTCAATGACATCGTGTGGTTGGACCATTTCATATGGCTTTTTAATGATAGCTAAAGTTAAATTATTAAGACAGTCTATCATCCTTGAGATATTTGCTTTGTTACAATATTTCATTATTAACCCAAACATTTCGGCGTTCTTGATATTGCACTTAACAAAGTCTTCGTAATCTTCTTTTTCGTATGGCTGTGCAACATTTTCTGATATGTGTTTGAGAGTCATCTCAAACTCTTGCTCTTTTCTTTGATCGAATGTTGGCATTGTATAACTTAGTAGTAAAAGTTTTCAAGTTTCATTAAGGAAATAATCAAGTTAGTATTGCATTAACTCTTTTATAATTTAAATACATATACAGTTTTTTCCATAAATTCGTTTAATATTGTGTTCTTTTATTTATCAATCAATTTAATAACGTAAAAAAATTACAAATGGTTACATTTACAAATAATAAGCAAAATTATAGAAAAAAAAACAATTGTCGTTTAGTTTCTATTTTTATATCTTTTATATCTTTTTTATAAACTAAAAATAAAAAACAATTAAGGTGAATTTTTATTGTAAGTCAGCTCCCAAGACATTTTGAACAAACTTATTCTCAGATGTCATCTTATTCGTTTTACATGTGACATCACCTGTTATGAACATGTTTTGCACAGTTATTAACCTATGATTGTATTTTGTTTTTCTTTTTGTTATAAATCACTTGTAATTATAAAATTAAATATATGTAATTAACCCATTATTATATATCATTTGTCCAAGACAATGTCGTATTTAATGTCTTTAAATGTTTTTAATAACGAGTTGGTAAAAAGTCTAGCTCTACAAACTTTATTTTATTATAAGTTTTATTATCTGTTTTTATTTGTATTATTATTATTTTTCAGATAATAAACGAGCCATATAAGAATTCAGTCACAATATAGAGACGCCTATATAATGGATAACTTTAAACTTATATAAGTACATTAAGTCGTTTATACAACCAAATTATTTAAATTATCAAACTTTACATCCATATAATCAAATATTAACAAAATTTGATGCTCAGTGGTTCATTTACGTTTAATATCATTTTAAGAATAACACCAACAATAATCGCATTAAAAAATAACAAAAGAGAATTTGATTTAATATTATTAACGACTTAATATATCAAGTTACAACAAATAACACAATAAATTCATTATTTTTATTTACTGAACATTAAAAAAACTTCAAATAGCAACGCTTAATTTATAGCTTTATCCAAGAAATTGACTGGCGTCCCATTCCCAAAAGTGATCACAAGAACTGGCAAACAATATGAATACGACCAGTCAATCGGGTTATTCACAACATAAATCCGATCCCTATCAACCAACAAACCTTTATTTTTTGGTCGTAAGACATATGTCAATATCAAGTGATTATTTCCTTTCGAATAGCCCATTGACGTTCCAGGATCTCTTGCAAAATACTCTCCGGGCCCATACGCTTGTCCTGCTCTTTTATGTGGATCAAACCCATTTTTACATATTGATTGGATACAATTGTCGTTACTCCCATGCCAACAAAAGAAGCCTGATGTCTCAATCGACTCCATTCCAAACTTCTCGACACACTTTATAAATCTGATATATGACATGGAATTCTCAAGTAAGAAGTTGTTGAATTGGATAGAATTGCTCTTCTGTAATTTGAACCCCATATTGGTATAGTTCTGTCCATGTGCCTCGGGCGTCTTTTCAATGAAGTCTTTGCCCAATTGAATGAGTTGTCCCAACAGTGGTTTTGCAAGTTGTTGTTCATATAAATTCTTTTCGTCGCGGTAGTCCGAAATTGTTTTGTTGTTCTTCCCAAAGTCGATACGGGCAAACTTTTCGATGACATTTTTGATGTTGATGAGGAACTCAATTTTCGTGAGAGGGTTGTACACGTCCTTTTCAAAAGCTCCCGACTTGAAAATCATTTTTAAAGTATCGAAGCGCAGTTTTGGAGAGAGAAAATTATACTTTGGTGGGATAACAGGAAACATTGTCGATGAGAATTCCAAGTCGAGTTCTATAGAGTCTCTTGCTGAAAGACTCATCATTTTGTCCAAGTCAGAAAAGATCGGCGAGTTTGGAGCAAAGTGTTTGTAAGAGACGACCCAGTGATATGGATTATCATCAACTGCCTTAATAATAAATCCAAACTTCTCTTCATTAAAGAAGGATTGTATAATGTCTTCTTTCAAATTTTGATAAGCAATTTCTGTATCAAATGCAAAGACTTGTTTCTGTGTTTCCAATGCTATTTTTCTCTTGGCGTCAAGTCGATCGCTTAAATTTTTTCGTTTGAGTGCCGGGTCGTTTTCCAAAGCAAATTGGTGTTCTTTTTCGTCTTTGAGGAATTGGGAAAGTTGTGTTAAAGCGTCTGTTAAACTCTTTGGAGGTATTAAAGACCAAGTCGTCTTCGAGCGGTTGACTACATGTTCATATTTCTTCCCACTTATTTTAACGTCATATTGACTGGGAGTTCCATTCGCATATTGAAAGTAAAACTCTTTGTCGTCTGGGATGTAAAGTATTTGAAAGACGTGTTTTGATGTGGAGTGGTCCAACATACAGAAAGAACCGTCTTGCTCACAATAAGAAGTAAATTCGTCTTCAATGGACGACATAAAATTGATTTTTTAAATCTTTTTTTTATAACAAGTTGTTCAAAATTGGATATTTTTAGAATAATTAACATGTTTTTTTAATTAATTAAACACTTTAATTAACGAGAATAATATATACTATTTTTGTATAACTATTATAATAAATTTTAGTTTTGTTTTTAATTTATTATTATAAAAAAATATCGTTATATATGTCTTTTTAATTAAAAAAAATATGTTAATATATTTGGTCAAATAAAAGAAAGATTTTTTAAGAAAAAAAAATAAAATTATAGTTCGAAAAATTATTTCAATTGGTCCTTAATGAATAATAAAAATACACATGAAAAAAGTTTGAGGTATAATAATGTAAAAAAACACTTTTGGGATTTGTATAAATTTAAATGTATAATAACAACAGTGTTCTATTTTTATTTTCCCATTGTTGTTGGGATTAAAAAAAATAAAAAAGATTATTTTATTAAAACTCATAATGTGATGTTTATAATAATGTTTTTGATTCATTGATTAAAAATAGTATTGTCATTCTAGTTTTTCAATTCAAAATTATTTATAACAAAAAATGAGATATAATTTAGTTAAGATTATTACAATAATTAAAATTTGTTTATCATATAATTTAAATAAAATAATGGTATTTATAATTAACAATTTGATGTTATTATTCTAAATTTTTATTTTATTAAACAAACACGACAAAGAAGATTTTGTTTTTATTAAATAATTTTTGTTGTTTCAAAAGAGGAAATTAAACTCAAAACATTGAAATGGTTTGTTATATTGATCCAAACTCGTCTGATTATCTAGGAAAGCCCTGACATTTTAACGCTGAAAATCATTGTGATTGGCGAGCCTGATGCTGGTAAAATCAATGTTATACGTCGTTATTGTCATGGTGTATTTGAACCGACGTACAGAGCAACCGTTTGAATTTCAATCTGTTTTTTATTTGAATCAATAAAAGAATAACAATAAGATTGGCGTCGACTTTGCTGTTAAGTTTGTCACGATAGGTGGTAAAGAACTTCAACTTCGAATGTGGGATGTAGCCGGCCAAGAGAAGTATATTGGAATGACACGAGTATATGTTTGCTTGTATTACACATTTTAATCATTTAGAATAAAAAGAGTGTGACATTTAGTACAAAGATGCACAAGGTGCAGTTATTCTTTATAACACAACTTCTGAATATTCACTAGAAGCAACAAATAAATGGAAAGAGGACCTCGATACAAAAGTTTCGTTGAACGGTGAGCCAATTCCTGCAATATTAGTTGGTAATAATTCGGAATTGCTTACCAATGAACAAAGGTCTCAAGCTGAAAACAGTTTGAAACAAAAGGTGTTACAACAAAGATACACAACAGGAGCACTCATTTCATCAAAAGGAGACCCCAAGTTTAATGATGTCATGGAAAAACTTGTGCGTTCAATTTTGATAAAAATAAACGTAGAGGATTTGGAGGAAGACTTGGTCGTGTTAGATGAGGAACAACTTGGGTATCAAAATAACAATAATTCGGTTTAATATTTTAAAAATTGATGTTTTATTTTTTACGCTTTTAATTGATATTTGAATATAAAAAAGTTTAATCTTGATAAAAAACAATACACCCATGGTTGAGATATTATTAAGTTGACTATTACAGTATGACAAGTTTGACTTAAACGACAAGTTTGGGTTAAATGGTAAATATTATAATTTAATTATTATAAAAATTTGAACTATAACCCGAACTAATTAATTGCTTTTTTATTATCAAGTTTATATAAAAAATTGAATAATTAAAAGCAAGCCAAAAACCCAAACACACAACATAAAGAATAAGAAAGCAATGAAAAAAGTAAAGATAATTATAAACTATCACACGATCATGATCATCACCAACATTTTAATGTGATCACAAACAATAAAGTTTTATCAAAATTTGTCAAATAAAGTAACCATAACATTTCAAATTCAATTATAAATACAGTCTAATTTCCCTAGAGTGTGTAATTATTATTTTTGTTGTTCTCTATTATTTGAGCATTTCTTAAGAACAAACCAAAAACAATATAGACATGCTCTTTAAAGAGTGGGTCCACTTTTTATTGGCCAAAATCAAGCGATGATTCTTAATAAATCACACTCTTGGGAGGTTTGGCAGTTTTTCCTTTCGTTGAATTCGTTTTTATGGATATTATTATTTAATTAAGTTAAAAGCAGTATTCTTCCATCGCGATAAGAAATACTGCTGATTTATCATATTAAAATAAATATAAAGTAATACAAACGTTTCCGAATGAGGCGGCACATGTTTTGGCGCGTTTGAACTCAACGAGACAAACACGTTAAAACATATAAAACAATACTTAACATGTGTTTTGGTTTTATTTTTCAAGATCAGAGTGTAACATAAAACAATAGAATTAATAATAATTTAAATATTATTCTATTTAACCATTTAATTATTTTCTAGTTTAACCCACTGTTTACTATAATAATTGGTTTTTAAACCATTAACGTGAACCATTTAAGTCAAACTATTCCTTTTAAGGCAAACTTGTCTAACTGTATACCGTTTCCGTTTTTTATCACTTCTAATATATTTCAGATTCAAATGATGCTGTATGATATCCTGTATAATTTTGTTTCCAATGAAAGCAAATTAAATATTGTGTAGGCTTTTTTCTTCAAATGGTAATTAATTTCTGGTTCATTTAATAGATATAACAAAAAAAAACAATAACAAAGTGCCGAATAAAGAAATCACAGTTTTTAATTGTAAAAAACAAACTTTTATTAATTTTATTCGAACAAATAAAATAATATGAACTACAAAATAATCAATTTTAATGGGACTTGAAGCAGTCTTTCTTATTAATGTATGTATTTATATACCGACTTATCAAGACATTCTCAATTTTCTGCTAATTAATAAAAAAAGTCAAATTGCTGTGAAAAGTCTTCGAGTTAACCCATGGTTTTCATCATCTTCTGACATTGAAAAATTCCATTACCACTTTTCGGAAAATGTTGAGACTTTGAATTGCAACAGTCTTCCTGTTGATACTAAAATAGCTACATCAAAGAAAATCAAAATTCTTCGAAACTTCAGGTTTTCACTTGATTCAATTAAAACTGCAAAACAATTTGGACTTGATTTCTTTTTTGATAAATTTGTGAATTTTGATATATTACGAGACGATTCCTATTATATAAATAATATACTTGACTCACAACACGCCCGTTTTTCTTTGTCATGTTCGCCATCTTTCTTCATCAAATATTTAAGAGCGTTTGACAAAGAAGTGAGACGATTTCCAAATCTTCATTTTCCCACAAAAGTTGTAATAACAATCAGTCGGAAAAACAACGAACCTATCCATTTGTCACACGTCGGTGACTATGATATGCTTAGTATAATTAATAGAGCTGCTCTTGATTTTCATAGTGAATTTATTATAGTGTGGAGTAATTGCCAATCAGATGGAGGTAATGCACATACACTCGATGTATTAAGCGAATGCAAACATTATACCAATGACTCTATTACGGATTCAAACGTGACTACTATGTTACCACTTAGTGTTTCAAAAGGAGTTCAATTCAAGTTTACAGTAAATGAATTGCATTATATAAAAAAAGCATTTGAAACTGTTTATTTAAGTGCTGCTCAAACTGTATTATTTGAAATCAATGGAATCAAATTTATAAATTTAAATTGGTGTGATGTTAAAATAAAGTTAAATAAACTTGAAATACAAGGAACGGAACGATC